TATATCTAAAATATAATAATAAAAGACAAAAAAATTGTAAGGTTAAGAAGTGAAAACATTTACATACAAATAGCCATTTAGATTTAAAATAATGTCAAACAAAATGATCTCAAGTCACGTTAAGGAACATAAATCAGATTTAATATCACTATTATTATTAATATTATCATTTGTAGGATTCAGTTGAATCTATTCAAATATATATCAATAAGTATTTCTTGTATATTAATAGTTGAGATATATTAGGATGATGATAATGATTACAATAATGGTGATAATGATAAAGAAATGTATATTATTGAGGCAAAAAAAGAGAGGTTTGTTGAATAACTGAGAGTTGCTTTGAAATGGGAAAGTCATGTAAACATTGGTTACTCGCTGTGATCAACAATTAGATTAACAATTGAACGCATAAATCATTGGATTAGATGAGAGTAAATACGGTGAGATGGATTAACATAAACAATCTTGAAAATGTTGTATTGTTAACAAATTGTAATAAATCAAAATTGTGTCAGGGAAAGTGTAAAATGTATCAAAATGTATTGAAAAGGCAAGTTGAACCAGTGAAGGTTCATTCTCATCTTTACTGACAAATCAACCCAACCAATGAGATTAACAATTGACAAACCACAATTTGATTCTGTTTTGATTCACTTCAATCAAACAATTATGATTAATTAAATTAACTTTTATCTTACAGTTGATATTTCATGCAAGTGTGTGTTTGAGTGTATAATCAAATTAGAGGTTAGCTTGTTAATCATAGTAATAGTATGAAACTGGTTGAAAACAATTACTGTTATAAAACGTTGTTGTCTATTCAATTATGTTTAACCCTAACAACTTGAAATCAATCAATTACCTGATCTATTAGCATATTTAAAGTGAATCAAGATGATAAAAAGGGAAGAGATGAATGATAATGCATTGGAAGCTATTCATTTCATGACAGTAAACAAGAATTGGGTTCAATCAAGATTCAAGATCTGCACATTATCAATCAATTGTATTTATATAACAACAATTAAATTAACAGTTGAAGGAGAAAAACAATCAAAATTAACAACAGTTAATCAGGGTAATCAAGTTAAAATGAGTTGCACTTACAAGTAAATGGATTCCTTGAAAAAACCACAAAATCTCATGTAAGTTTGGGTTTGAAGAGAAACATGAAGACGAAGGAAGATGCAGAGGATAAGAAAGATTAAGCTAATAAATTAAGCTCATAAAAGGGTTTGACTGTTAAGAAGCCAGCCTCCGTTAACCATTAGAATGAGGAAAAACTTTTGCTGAACCTTTTTCTTTTTTGGTTAAATCTTCGCCTTCGAATCTCTTCTTTAATTGCTTCACATATATCTTACTAATAGCATCGGGTGTCAACTATGCTTAACATTGATACAGTGTGACAGCTTGACCATTCAGTAAAATAGCCTTAAGACATTGGCAAGAAGAAAAGTAAACATGGCAGAGAGAAAAAAAAGAGAAGCAAAAAAAAATCCGTTCTGTTGAACTCAAAAGAAGTCATTTATCCGCGATTGTTGGGCTTTGAGGGAAATTAAATTTCCTCATTTTCTTTTCATGTTTGATCACAATTTGAGATTCAGGATTTGTCGAGGTATTACTGTCATTGTAATGTTTAATGCTTAATCAATTGAACTATTTCTTCTTCTTCTTTAAAAAAAAACACTTAACGTACTGTCTAATTGTCAACTTGTATCAGTATAGTGTTGACATTTAAAAGAATACAAAACCTCTCATCTTCAAGTGATTAGCTTGATGGGATAAAAGGAGGAATATCATTTTCATCATGTTGTTATAGCTAATAAGAAGCTGATTCATTTGGAAGGAAAACACATGATTGGCACGATTTATTCATTACAATTCACGCCTCATGATATTTAACTAGCCTTAAGGCTTCATCGGCATCATCAGGCTCATCTAGCAGCAGCATCAGCATCATTATCATTTTAACTGCTTCAACTTTGTTTTTGCTGATAAATCTAAATTTAATGCAAGGTTGATTGTTATTTTGGCAAGAAACGAGGAAAAAAAATGGTTCGTCAAATGAGTGAATCTGGAAAAGAGGAAAGTGAAAAAAAAGATGAAAAAATGATGAAAAAATATACACCAAGTAATGAGTAGCCCACTCAGGGTGAGTTGATGATGGTTTATATGTGTGTGAGTTGTTGTAAGATGAGGAGGATGAGGATAAGGATGATGAAAAACAAGATGAAAGATGGTGAAGGAGAAGAGGAAAGAAAGAAAAATGTCTCAATGTTAATTAACTGTAAATGACAAATGAGATATTCTTGATGATGAAAACAAATCTCAATTTAATATAATACACATCATCATCTTTGCTACATTAACCTTTTTCTTTTGCGCTTTTCCTTTTCTTCCTTTCATCATCTTCCTTTGTATAATATTAAACTTTTTAAACTCAACTGCGGAAAAGGAAATGATGTAGTAACACATGAATCTATTCTTGTTTCTTTTGTAACCAAAATTTATGTAAAATCGGCAACCATATTCTTAACCAAGTTACTTCCATTAGTTTGGCATTAACTGCTTCCATCTTTAATGCCATTTTGTTGCAACATTGTTCAACCACAACATGTAAGATATTTACAATACAAACTGGAAAATAATGAGATAATCATTTGCTTTTAATACGATCTTAACCATCTTTAATCTCAATTGATTCCCAGAAGTAAAATACTAACTTATGCTATCTCTACTGACAGCCTGTTGGATTTGCCTTGACAGCCAGTCTTCAGCTGCCATCCGAGATTATTCCAGGCTTATTTTAAGTTGATTTTAATGATGATAATTATTCGCTGAGGTTACCGGTCACATTTCTGATGGATTCCTTGAAACAGAAAAAATGAAACAATATTCGAGTTAACATGAAAAAATTCGATTAAAAAAATCAACTTGATCTTGAATGATCTGGTATTTCAATATGTCATAGTTCATAATAAAATCTAATGAATGGTCGAAGAATGATGATTGTAGTTGCTACCATTCTAGAAATATTCAGGCTCAAAGTTTTTAGATCAACGGTCAAAATCAAGAGAAATGTTTATGAATTGAAATTAGTTTTCGATTGCTGATGTGTACCAACAATTTTTATGGACAAATAATTAGTTTCAGCTCTCTGACTCTCACGGTTACAGAATGCGACCGGTTCAATTGAAAATCGAAATGGTTTGTTTACAGAAACAGAATAATGAATTTCTCAGAATAGAAACCTTTTCTGATTAATCATCAAAAGTTACATCAGTAGAATGAGTTTCATGAAAACACATGCTTTCATTATTACAAAAAAGACGATCAAACTTTCAAGTTTTTCCTCAACTTTCTCGAAAAATGTCGATCGGAGAAATTTTACAAAATATTTTTGTGTTTTAAAGTGCTTGTATGCTTAAAGAATTGGCCAAACATGAATATACCAAATTAATTTTGTTTGTTAATTCGAGTTATTTATTCGATTCTGATGAGAATTTATCTTGAAACAGTTTAGTGCTTACCATCAACTTTACCATGAACATTTTGTTTGAGATTTCTTTCTGTAAGTACTTTTCTAACCTTATCTTAATGTTACCAAGCTGGCAGCGTTAGTGGTTTTAATGGTGTCCAATTTTTATTGTCCTCTTTCAACTGATTTACAAGCTTTGCTACACAACTCTTTCATCCTGATCATCATTATTATTTACCATCATCATCATGTTATCTTTCAATGGGTGCTTGATTTTCAATGTCATTAGGTGAAACCTCGGTCAAGATTAATGATTGTAAGAAAAGGAAACAAGCTTCTTTCAAATGTCGACTCGTCTTTTGATTCTTCCCTTGCATCGCCATATTTAATCTCACACGTTGCTTTCATTTAAATGTAACTAAACTGTCTTTCTTTACCATTCTTCCACCTTTAATCCGTTTTCTAATGTTTATCTATTTTGTACTTCTTCTCACAATCAGGTACAATTGTAAAACAATAAGCTAAACAATTGGCTATTCAGAGGAGATTAATGGATCTCCAATGTGCAATCGTCCATCTCTATCTCACACCATTTTCAACAGTAAACCGTTTGGATTTGAAAAGTGACTACCATTTGGAAAAGATGATATTTATTCAATCAAAGTCAGTCCAAAGAAAGATTTGAAAATCAATTCAATCCATTGTAAATAGGAGGATAACAAATTAAAGAAAACTTGTCACTGGAAAGAAGGAGATGAGAAGGAAGAAAAGAAAAGTGACAAAGATGAGAGGTTGATACAGGAGGGAAAAAAGTCAATGGCTTATGTGAATGTTTTAAAATTATTTGACGTTAGTTGAACAACAAATCACGTTAAATAGTGAAATAGCCTTTTTTTATGTTGCTGTCTTTTTGTGGGTAGGTATGAAGATAATTTATCATCTTATTTACTGGTCATCTTCACCTTTAAAAGAATCAAAAGATGTCGCAGAGGATCCATTTTAAAGCATCATTAGTAAAAAAAGTCACAAAAAAAGATAAACCTTCGTCTTGAAGGCAACAGCAAAAAGAGAGGAATGAACAAAAATACACTTTGTCACATCATTTTTGTTCATCTTTTGACCCATTTTTTCATCATTCTTTTCATTCTCATCATCTTTATCATCAACTTTTTTGTTCATTCTCATCTGTCTTGTTAAAAATTTCTCACTGAATTCCATAAATTCCTGATACTTCTCAGATGAGACGGAAAGCTAACGAAAAATTTTTCACCTTCTTACTGGTTCTCTCTTAAACATCACAAGAATCTAAGACATGCAGGATAATTCTGGATGATGGGAGAAAGAAAAAACAGAAGAAGAAGAAGGAAAGACTGAAGATGATCATGTTATAAATGATCATGTTATAAATCTTCTTTCTTATTTCATCTTCTCATCTTTCTCATAGGAAAAGGTTGCCAAGAAAAGTGGAGAAATAAAAATGGTAAGTCTGTTAATCTCAACACTAAATCAATATTAACTTGCAATCATAAATAATCCAAGTTTTTGTATCAAAGTTACATTTACTCATGTTTCTAATTTTTCCCCTCATTTTCAATTGCATTTCTCAGGACAACTAAAGATTGACAAAAGATCATGAAAAACAGTTAAACACTTAACACCATTGAACAGCAAATGAATTGAAAGCAACGAAATGAAAAAACATGAAACAATCAAAAGGCCTTCATTATCATCTACTTAATGGTGAGTTTAATGTTTCAAGATGATTAACCAAGTAATCGTAATAGTGAATGGATATTGTATAATAGCTACTAACTGGGAAAGGAGAAGCAAAACGATCAATAAATTAAGTTGATAATAATAAAAAATGAATTATTGTTTTCAAGTTAAAATATATTTGATAATAAATGGTTTCTCAGGTTCAATAAAACATTAAAAATGACAAATGAACAGTTGAAGTTACCATAATATGAAAAGATGATGATATTAATGTTAATAACAATATATCTTTAAATCATTTTTGCATTCAACTTTATCTGTAATTTTTCTTCTTTTCTCTTTGTTTTCTTTTTCTCCAGATAATTCTGACTTTTCAAATAATTTCACATGGATTCACCGATCAATAAAAGGCGCGGAAGGAACCATTTAACAATCTTGATTATCGTTTTAAAATTGCAACTCTTACAATCAGGATTAATGATAACAAAATGGTTGCTAGTTAATAAATTATCATCAAGGAAAGATGAGATTTCAAGAAAAGCAGGAGACAAACAGGATTTAGCCGTTTATTGCTGAAGGAAGATAATAATCAATTACATTGAAGGGAAACAAAATAATTATCGTCATCATCATCATCAATATTATTAAGGTCATTTATGAAATTGATAAATGATAATAATATTGAATACCAAGCAAAATAACAACATAAAGGTTAATTATTGCCAATCAATCATGTAGCATTGATGAATCACAGGCTAAATAATACAGAAATATATTTTAATAATCGATTAAAATATTGTTAACTATTCAGTTACAGGGCAATCAAATGAGAGTTAATCATAAGGATCAAATGGCAATAACAGGTTTTAACGTCAAAATTAAGCCAATAATCTAGTAACATTAGATTTAAAGTGGTTTGAGTTAAAATCTGTTTCTTTCATTGTTAGTATTTTGCTTCTACCGTTGTTGTTGTTGTTAACAAACTTCCATCAATGTCAATCCAGTTGATGGACAGGTTATTGAAGAGATGGTGATGAGGATGATAGAAGAGAGAGAGAGAGAGAGAAGAGGAAGATGGAGAAACGAGTAGGGAAGATAAGTGTTAACAAAGTTAGTGAAGATATTCAAGTATAAAATAGCAAATATTAACACATAAATGTTAACCTGAAAGATATTTCTTCCTTATTTCATCTTCATCATAGTTGTCACTCTCTTTTCAATGTTAACTTGTCAATCAAATTATCCTCTTACCTTGTTCATTCTCCATCATAATCACCCTCATCATAAAGGTATATTTAATAACTAGCTATTAATCCAGTTGAAACAAAACTAAACAGTTGGTTAACCATTGAACGTGAACAAATTTAGGTTCACTTTTTTTTTGGTTAACAATTTTTGTGTGCGTTTCTTATCCACACCATTTTGTTTCATTGTAAGTCTAACCATTTCAATTTTTACTTGCTAATAATGACACTTTATTTGTTAATTATTATTCACCTTTCATTCATTAAGCTAATTATTAATGATTAAATCTTGTCAAGGTTTAAATCATTAATTTATTACCAACCTTATACACTTTGATTGTTACCTTAAGTAATACATAATGTAATAGTATTATGTATGTATTTTTAACAGCAGCAACAATAACAGCCATTTTAGACTGCTTATTGAAATGGTTTAAGGCAATATATTGAAAAGTGCAAAAAAAAATCTAAACGTAAATTAATCAAAACATTAATCTCAATTAAATTAGAAGCAAGATTTAGTTTCTTTCACCATTTAATGTACACATTTCAGTAAAATATATGATGATGATTCCCATGATTAAGATGATGATTACCATTTTACACGTAACATTGATCAGATTAATTTACCTTTATATTTTAATGGATGCCTTCAAGTTTAATTTACATTTTTGGTCAGGAAGCAAAATGTACATTAAACTCAATTTAAGGGTGAATTTGATTAATAATCTTCTTGATCATCAACTCATTTAAGCTAATACAGATTAACTGACAAAAACTGGATTAAATTTCAAGTCAACAATCAACTAATTAAAAGACTGATACTGTTAATGCTTTGAAAGCGTTTTGTTTTATTTTTTTTCTGTACCGAAACAGTTAATAAGCAAAGCTAACAATAAGTATTAATACAATGAACATAATCAATTCAGGTTAATGTACTTCATTCAAAATGATAAATCATGATGATTATTATAATGATGATTGTTAACATTCGTGACAATTTATATTCACAATAATCCTAATCCAATTGAATGGTTAACTTATTTAATTTGATTTATACAAAAGTTAACAAAAAAAGGTAAAAAATGAGAAGCAAAAAATAGTCAATTTTACGCCAATAAAATGCAATAACTTGTCAAATGATGATGATAATTTGTGTCAATTCAATTGAAGTATAAAAATTGTTAAACCAATTTGAGCAAATTACAATAAAATGATCAATAATAACACCAAATTGGTAAGTTTAATGTTTTGTAATTTTAAAATCATTTTATTATCAAAATCACACAACATGTAAACATGAATAGATGTTAATTTTGATGATTACGATGATGACCATAAACGTGTTATTAACATTGTCTTCCTTTGTATCCTCTCAACCATTTAGGATTCCTAAAGCTGATAAATCAAACTTGGCCTTTACAGTTGATTCAAATCCATGGCTAAACTGGACATTTGGACTTCATTTATGCAGCAAAACATGACTGACTCAATATTGAATATCGCGACTCTGACCATTCTTTACTCCAAGTGGTGTTAAAAATATCATGAACCCAGGAATGATCAATGATGAAACAAAGATGTTGAAAAGAAAAAAGTTTGTCTCTCAAATTTCATTGTTTCCGATCGATATTGAAGATAATGATGAAGATGTCAATGGATGATTGTTGCAAGATGAATGAGATATAGTGTCATGCAATGGAGTTGATTTTTTTCCATATAAACTTCAATATATTGTATTGAAAAAAAAGTACGTTATCTGTCATGGTAAAGTACTGTTATATCAAAGTAAGTAATGTTATCATTTTTGTTATTTATTCTCATCATCATATTACTCAAGGATCTGGATTCTCTTTTTTTTTGGTTCATCCTGAGAGAAAAGAAGATGAATGGAAATGGATGATAAATCTGTTGAAGATTTTCATCTCATTTCCTTAGTCAATCATTTACATTTTTGTTTTCTTTCCTTACCCAGTATTGTTGCACTTGAAACAAGAGCAACTCTTCATTTGTCCATCAAAATTACTTGAAATCTGAACAATCAAAGTCTTACCAAAGTCAACCTTTCAATTTGACAAAAGCAAAAGTGTAAATCAATACATAAAAAACAATTAGATATTGGCAGAACCATTAATATTTACATTTTCACAGCAATTTTCAATTTCCATTCCCATATTATCATCATTATCATGTTTCACCAAAGAAATATCAAGTTATTATTAGATAAAATTTTCCCTGAATTTTGATAACAAACAGTGAATAAGTTGAAGCTTAAAAAAAATGTTTACTTTTTTTACAGTTTAGACTTTTGTTTGTCCCTGAAGGAGTTGAAACAAGTTGAACAATACATGGATAGATGGATTGATATCATGTAATAACCATAATAATAAAAGATATTAAATGAACAAAAGGTAAACTGGGAAAATGCAATTGATGATTGAGGTTTGAAAAGGGAATTGAGAAAGTTATTATTATTTGAAGGGCAAAAACAAGATAAAAGTGTATATAAATTGTTTAGAGTCAATTACACTTGCTATTTGTTACTCTTAGAGTTGAACTATTTTTCAATGTTTCCAGGCTAAATTTAATGTCAATAGGAGTGACAGGGAGTTAAACAGGGAATGAAATAGTGTTTATATTTTTGTGATATTTTCTTGTTGATATTATTATTGTTCATTGAACAGGTTTTGGATTAAATTTCAAGCTTTCTCTTGTTCACCATTTTTCACCATTTTGCTACCTTTTCCAGTGAAAGGCCGCAACTTACATCTAAATTGGCTGTAAGTTGATGATGATTATGATGATGATTAAGGTGATGATAAAGTTTACTTTTGCCTCAAGTGAAACAATTCAAGTTATCAAATTGATTGCAAGTTGACAAGCCTTTTACCTGATTCAGTTAATACAATGTTTTTCACTGTGTTTCAGTTTTCTGTTGTTCAAATCCATTTCATCATCAATCAACTTTATTTTTGTTTGATTAAAACTCTTATTCAGATAATTGTTATTTAATTACATTGATTGGCCATTGATCAAGTGGCCTGGATTTTTACTCGATTAAACTTGATTTGATTGCAAATGAAAATGTTAACTTTTCTTGTATTTTACAGATTTTGCTTCTTTTTACTTGAAAATTGGATTGATCTTCATTGAACCTGTTAATAAACGATTAAGTAAAACAGTTTCAACTGTCAAATGTTGTTATTAAATGATATTAAAGTAATGGACTGCCATTTATCATGATAATAATCAATGAAATGAACTCAAATTGAATAGATTAGCTTGGCAAGGTTAGCTTTGGCCATTTTGCCACTTGATGAATGTTTGAAAGGTTCAATGAAAAGAGAAAGAGTGAAATTCGTCATTTAATCATTTATTTCTTGATCAATCATGATAATTATGATGATGATGATTGTAATAAGGAGCATAAAAAAAGTGATGAAGTTAAAACTCAACTAAAGGTATGAAAAAAAGGAGATAAAAAGGTTTGCTGAGGAAAAAAAAAGGTTGAAAGATATTATGATAATAATGTTATAAAAATGAAGTCAACATTTTGTTGATGCAAACATCAATTATGTCATTTTGAGAGTTGAAAAATGCTATTCAATTTGTTGCTTTAACGTATGATTGATTGATGATGATGATGTTGATGATCAAGAGTAAGGATAAATTTGGCCAGAAAAAAAAGATTAATCAGAATCGAGTTAACATGAACATGAGTTTTGAAACAAGAATCAAAGTAACTTTCAAAGGGAATCTTTTGGTGAAAATAATTATGATCATGGTGATGGTGATGAGAAGAGAGTTGAGGACAAAATGTTTATCTTATTATCACCATTATCATTATTATAATGTTGGTGATAAAAATGTTGACCAAACAAATGAAGGAAAAGTAAAAATTGTGTTTTTGTTTGCACACATAAATCATCATTAATTTACATAATGGACTTTAAAGGTTCATTTTAAATGCTTTGTAAAACTGATCATGTCATAGTCATGATAATCTTTGAAACCATTTTGTTTCAAAGTGAAAATTGAAGTCGTTTCTTCTTCTTGGCCAACCTTTAATATTTATTGTAACAAAATGAAGGTTTCATTTAAAGTGTGTCCAAAATTTTGGGCTTGATTGATGATTCTAATGGTAAGTGCTAAATTGTTCAACAAGAAAATAAAAACTGGCGAAGAAGATGAAATGATGATGAAAAGAACGAAAGTAAAATCTCTTTTTTTCTCTGTTTGCTCATCTTTTTCTGTTTCTCTCCTTGTTTTTAAAGCTTGATAATCTGGTTGAACAGCCTGAAGCTAGAGATGATGGATTGATGATAATTAACCGTGAGGATTGCAAAAATGGCAGATAATTAAGATGGATCATGGCCAATGATTAGAGTAAAATTGTGATTCCCATCAATAAATGAAGACGATGATAAAGAAGAAGAAGAAGAAAGCTCAGTCATCTTATCTTGTAACAAGCTTAATGTAATTCTTGCTTCATTTGCTTCACTCATTCACTCATTCACTTCATCTAATTTCGTGATTTTCTGATTACCCTGATGATGATAATGATGATAATGATGACGGAAAAGATGATCAGTTGAATCAAGATGATCAGTCAGGTCATAATTCAATCGACGCTTGTGGCCTTGTTCCAGTTTACCTGGCTGTTAATAATAGTTAATATTGATGGAAATGTTGATTACATTAACTCAACGGGAGAACACTTTTAACAGTTTATTTGTCTTTAATCGTGATCATTGATTATTCAATTTCCTGATGCAATAATTGTCAACTATAACATCAAACAATTGATCAAATAATCAACAGTGGACATTGAATCTCAATTGGCTAAATTGACTTGCAACATTTTTCACATTTCACTTGATCTCTCAACTGTGTATTTATATTAACTGTTGGCTCCATGTTGGTCTGGATTTTGCTTTGATGAACCGGAATAAAGATGCGTCAAGATGCTTGAAGAGGATGATGATCAGCTAGAGATGAGGATGTAATGTTAACTTTGTTGACAAATGATCCTCATTTTCAACCAAAATGTACCGCAATATTTTTTCCTGTTTGGCGTTGAAAGATTTCGCTCACTCATTTTGTCTTCTCTCTCTCTCTCTTTATCTTCCAAAGTCACTTAAATCTTTTTACCATCATCATCATTATCTTCATCATCCTTAGTAATTTCATCTTTTCTCTCATCCGAATCAATTTATCTTAATTTTATATTTTTGTTAAAAATAAAACAGCAACAATGGATTTGCTGTTTATGGCTTGTAAGAAACAGCAAAAAGGGAAAAACAAATATCAAATTAACTGACTTGTGCGCCGGGAATACAATCATTTACAATCATGACAATTACAAGTTGATTGTTGCCAATGATTTAACACTAATTACTAAAGATACTCATTAACTAGATTATCAATCAAGTAAGGAAATTAAATTGATTACAATTGAAGCTAATTATATGTTGTTATTACCTTCACTTTACAGTGTAATGTTAGATTGGAAGACGATGCCAAAAGGGAAAGCATAACCTAAACCAGGGTTAGGTTTAGGTTAAACATTAACAAAGAGTCGATGGTTTTGTTCACAGTAAAAAAGGTTGAGTGTCTTTCAAATTTTCAAGTGAAACTGTTCTTGACTGATGTTCAGATGATCATGGAAAGATTAATGAGCATGAAAATGATATTAATGATGATGATGATGGGATGACATAGAGTGGGTTAAAATTTGTTGTTCATTGAAAGTAAATGATGAAAAGACTGGAAATGGGTGAAACCAGAAAAGGCTTCAAATAAACTGCAATACATCTTTAAAGTTGGCAACAAAAAAAAGAGGAGAGAGAGATGAAGATTACCTTTGTGAGCTGTTTATGTAAATCTGGTTTGATATATATTTCACCTTATTGTTGAATAATCCAGAAAAGAAGGAAAAGAAAACACAAATTTGATAAACAGCAGGATAAATGAGTGGCGACACTTGAAAGTGTTTCAATGATGAATCTTGAAATATTAAAAGTGGATGATGACAATGAAGATAAAGATGAAAATAATGTTAATGATGAAGATAAAGATTGTCAAATAAATTATCAACTAAAAAAGTATTCAATAAAATGTAAACCAATCTTTACTCGCAAGTTATTCCCAAAAGGCTTTTCCCATTGAAAGAAGTAAAAAGTTGAACATTTGAAGAGGAAGAAGAAGAAGAAAACAGATTCATTTCTCACTTTCCTGAAGATGAAATTTCCTCATCTTCTCTCCTCTTCTGGGTTACAGTTAGGACCCATTAAAATCATAAATTGTCTTGGCCATTAAATGCTTCTTATGAGGCTATTTCAAGTCCCAAATAGCAGTCATCCATCAATCGGATTGGACCCAGAATATTATATTGCTTTAAAAAAACGATACCAACTCTTATCTTCTCATCGTCCACACAAGATGAACAACATGTCAGACTGTCTTTCACTCATCATCATCTTTATCTTTCAAGTAACATCCGAATCCTATCGAAACGATTATAACCTTCTTTTTTTTATCTTGAACCTCTTCTGGAGTTAGATTTATCAGCTCAAGCAAAATCACTCCCTGTAGGTATCAACTTCAATATATTAGGTAATAATAATAAAAAGCTAGTAATAATGATAATAATAACAATAATATCATTTTTATCGTTTAACTTTTCCTGCTTACAATCACAGTCTTGCAACTCAATTTTTGTTCACATCTTTTCACAATTTTGCTGCACTTTCACATTAACATTACGTTTTTATCATTATTATTGTTATTGTTATTTTTCTTGATCATTTTTATCATTATTATTGAAAGTAATCACAGTTTGGCAACATTTAAAAATTGATTGTCGATCAGTTTGCTGGTTGAAATGGTTAAACTCTGATTTTCTGGTTTCTGGTTTTTTTACTCAAACTAATTTGAATAATGTTTTTGTTCATATGATCATGGATCAAACCATTGTTATCTTGTTAATCAACTTGTTACTGTTTCCTTGCCTTTTTTCACAGGCTTTTCAATTTCAATTGTTAACGATAATTTGATTGATTCAAGGAGATTAACATGATGTTATGGTTATGTATTTACGGTTAAAGAGGAATGGCTCACATCCAAACCTTAATCATCATAAGCATCTTCAAGATAAATTATGTTGATTACCTTTTAAACAGCAAACAAAGATTCATCTTATTACATGTTAGTGTCACTGAGCCTTGAACAAGGATTGCTGATTAAACAGCATTTATGACTATAATAGATCTTGGCTCATCATTAACATCATTAATTTGATTACAATTAAGATAATTGTTCATATTAAATGGCGACTCTTTTAACTTGCACAATGAAAAAAAAAGTCATTTCAATCTTATTTAATTGCCAAATTGAGACTTTTGTAACTGATTGTAATTGTCTTCTGTTAAACCATTAAAGTGTCTGCATTTGTAATTTAAATCATTTTCAAAGTCTTTTTCAGTCTTTTCACATTCGTATCCAATTTTGAGTCGCTTTTTTTGCCAATCTGTTTGTTTTTTGGCGTTTTTTCTCATTCTCATTAATCAAAAGCAAGCATTTATTTTTGCACAATCAACAGTCAATAATGAAAACTGTTTGTCAACTGTTAGTTATTAAACTGTCAACAGACTAATTTGTTTTAATAAAATGCTGTTTACTCAATCTTTTGACCATTTTGTGTGCAAACAAATGGAAAGTCTGTTGATAAGATTATCTTGATTTTGCCTGACTTTTTTTAACCTCAACTTTGTTCCAAACATTCATTGGATTCAGTTTTACACAGATGTGATTAACGGGAAATGGCGATCGCTACGAACTTTATATCTTTTGAAATGACGAAAGTAGAGTTAAACACGAATACTTATTTGACCAGTTTCTTGTTCGAGTTTAAGTTTGACTTTATTAATAGGTTATTAAGAATTTAAGTTTAACATTTATTTAGTGTTGATGATGATGGTGATGATGAGGATGAGGATGATGACAGTGATTATGATTGTTATTAAGGCGGAATTGGTGGACCCAAGCGCCCTGCATAGGGTCCTTGAGGGGGATAACTCAAGTTCATTTGAGATCTGGGTGATACTGAATGTGCTGAGGGAAGATGAGGTAATCCGCTGGTTAATCCATTTGGTGAGTTTGGAAAAGGCTTGTAAGGATGATATCGGTTAATCGGATCGAAATTTGTCCTTCTTAAGCCAGCAATAGGATTAGTTAACATGGGATAAAGATGAGGATATTGACCAAGAAAGGCAAGAGCAGCAACCGATGGATCAGAAGAAGCGTGATTGCGAAGATGTTGATGAGCTTCTTCAGCGGTTGGAAATCTTTTACCATTGAAACTATTTCCAGGTTGGGTCACACTTGAGGGATTTGATGGTTGGTTATTAGGGTTAGAAGGGTGATGAGGTGCAGGTAGTAATGGATAAAATGCATTACCGGCCAGGTATGGTGAGTTTGCTTGCAGTGCAGCTGCTAAATTGATTGATGATGCCATTGAGGGAGAAGCATGTGAACACTGAGTACAACCAGCGGCACATGCTGATACCTGTCCGAGGACATTAGACGCAGCATTGAATCTACAGCCTGGACAAAAAGGATCACGACATACGCTTGGTGAATGGCAGTAGCCAGCCACGGCAGCAGCAGCAGCATTCAATCGAGCAGCGGCTGCTGGATCATGAGCTGAAAGCTGAGGATGATGAGGAAGGCCCAAGTAGGGTGAAAGCGATGAATATGGTACAAATTTATTAACATTATCTACAGTTAACTGATGTAATTTGGATGATGAAGAGTTAGTTTGATGAGTGACGGATGTTGATGTTGAAGTTGTCGTTGCAGAAGAGGAAGAAGATGATGAAGATGATGATGATTTTGGTACCGTTGATGAATTGTTTGACAAGGAAGGTGTAGAAGATGATGAAGAACGAATCTTTTTATTTTTTTCCTCGTAACCATTGCTGTGGCTTGTTGGTGGGCTTCCTCCATTAGTTTCACTTTCTCGTTTTGAAGAAACAGATTCAGATGTTTTTGAACCATTCACACTATTACTGTTATCCTTGTTATTTTTGTAATTATCACTATTTAGAGGTGATCTTGAGCTTTGTACCTGCTGTGGGTAGTTGTGGTTGAATGCTGAATGACTTCTAGAGTCTTCAGTATTCGTCTTTTTATTGGTAACGTGATCTTCATAAGGCTTGAAAGAGAACTTTGTTGGTTCACGATTATCAGGCACTGAATTGGCACTGATACGGCTATTTGATGAAACGGATAAAGATGATTGTTTATCTGATCCATTTCTTAAAGGTGAAACAGACAAGCGACAAGAGTCATTGCTTTTCCTAGTAGATTCAATGGATGAAGAAGATGATGGTGAAGTTGAGGATTTTGATGAAAATGATTTGGTATGATCAACGGATGATTTGATTAATTTACTAGTTGTCTTGTCAACACCAATATTACGACATGTTTCAGCCAATAAAGCTAATGGACTTTTACCGTCGTCGTACTGTAAAAAGGAAAACAAAATTTTCAATTATTTCAGATTAATAAGAAACGATAATTCTCAAAAAAGACCAGTCAAGATCATTCAAGAGATAAATTAACAAATAAGAAATGAAAAAGATAAAAAACTAACCCGAAACTCGGATTGAACGAGATTATTATTCGACGACATATAAACAAATGATAAAAAGGTTTCAGACTCTTGATATTGATTTAACAAATAAATAGTCCAAATGAGATCACGGTTTAGAACAGAAAAATGGTGTTAAAAAAACGATACAATAACATTACACTGGACTTCTCATGAAGTTTGAATATAAACAAACGGAACAGTAATAAGTTAAACTTTAACCAATGTTCACCTAAAAGCAACTAACTGAATGTTTTCAAGCTGAAAACCAATTCAAAGCAAACCAAGATGAAAGAACATGCGCAATAGCTTGAGAAAATTTCGGTTGTTCTGTAAGATACTGCCATCTTGTGCGATAATTTTCAGCAACTCAAGTAAAAATGGATTTACAGTGAATGTCGTTTGTTTGGGACAGTTAGAGCCAATGAGTTGGACACCATAGCGATTGAATGCGACACTTTATTCTTGTTCGGTACAAAGATCATAAAATTTTATTGACAAAGAAAATCTTGAGAAAGTAAGAGCAAATTAATGAAGAAGACAGAAGCAGTGCAAATGAATGGGACAATTTTTTAACCGTGTTTCAGTTTTCAATTATTTCACTGTTTAAACATTTTGTCATCGACTTTTTACCAAATACAAATTATGCGAGTCGCCCAGCACTCTTCGGATATTATTATATTATCATATGGATTTTCCTCTGATTAAGAGCTTACAGTAGTTCCGAAAGTGGAAGTCAATTTTGTAAATGTGTTGGATTTATTGGATTTGAACGATGGATAACATCTTTAAAACAAATGCTGGACAATGTGGTGGGAAGAAGGTCTAATCCTAAATATGTTTAATTAGTGAAATAATTGATTATTGAAACAAGATTAACCTAATTGTTTAATCCATCTGCTCTGGCCGTCTCAAGATTTGGTCTATCAATAAAGGATTTTAGGATCTACAGACAAACAAAATGTCCCGCGTTCAGTCGATCTGTTAATTTGATGGTAATAGTGTTGAAAACTTGTGCTTATGATCTTCCGAACTCTGAATTTCCTTTATCAACAAATCTTGGAAAAAATTATTGATTCAAAAAATACGCACGGAGGTTATTCTGCTACACCCTGTAGATGGCAGTAGCTTTTTAAGCCGCGCAAAATGTTTTTGTTAAAGATTTGTTGATTTTAAATACTAAAGCTGTGATACTGATTAGTCTGATTAATAAACAGTTTTGATTATATTTTTATTATTTTAATTAAGTTTTGCCATATGGATCCACCATCTGAGCTGTCTGCTGAACAAACACAGTCTGAAGCAGATAGATTATCCGAAGCTGAAACCGAAGGAGAAGAAGAAAAGGATAATCCGTTCTCATCACCTCGTGAAGTTTATGGTCGTTTAATTGAAATTGTCAATAATGAGTGTTTGGTCGAAGAGATGTTACCATTTGAGGAGACTGTCCTGGAATGTATTCTTGAACAGATGAGATATATGTCTGAAGGGTTACAACGTGTTGGCTCTAAATTAGGAAGTTTCGTTGTTGAACAACATAAAATTGAACTTGGTCGCTTTGCCTTTCTTGTTAACAAATATTATCGAACACGATTAAATAAATTGGAATCGAGGTGCAACGAGTTTGTTCGTCTTCTTCGCAATGATCCTAAACAAGCTTTCGTCTTACTTTCACCATTGGAGGTTAAATATCTTGATAACTATGTTACCTCGATTGATACTTACCTAGATGAGGTAATCCTCAATCAGATGCCTGCCAATTTGAAAAATTTCAAGATTGGTAATATTCCCGAAAACACTTCCTCCGGTGATCATGAATATGTTTTCGTCAAATGCAATGCATCAACATCCGTGACTATCGAGGATCCTATTGCTGGTCAGGAAATTGTCCACATGAATGAAAATGAACAATACTTTCTACCTTTCAGCGCGATCAAGCCACACTTTTCAAAAGGATCGGACAATCTTCATATACTGTGATTTATTCTGTCTATATAAACATAGATAAAAATATCGAGAAACAAATGATCATTGAAATTTTCCGATTGATTAAGAATTCTCAGTTTCTAACATAACTGTTGTATGATAATGATTATAATGTTACGGACAATACAATTTAAATTTTGATTACTTAAAATGAAGTTTACAAGTTTTAGTAGATCAGTATCAATTTTTTTCAAAAATTATTGGAACATGAGAAAAGTTTTCGACATTTTTCCATTAACTATGATAAATATGCAACAAGGAATTGATTTCTTTGTTAAATATTAATTTTGTATTTCCATTCAATATTCTTTTTTTTTCATTTAGGCGGTGATAATTAGTAACAAACATGGTCCAAATTTTCTTAGAAAGTCATTTGTTTGAATCATTAACATCGATAGATACACTTTTAGTTTGCTCATGGGGTGTATAGAAAATTTACTGTGTTCATGTGAACCTTTTTAACCCTTATGATTTGATTCACATGAACATGAGGACAGGTTTGATGATTGGAGAGACTGAAGGGAGGGAAGAAAGCACTGGACTCTTATTTTGGTTGAACTTTTTCTCAACCAAAATTCATTAAGACAATACAAAGTTAATAGCAACCTATCGATATTTCTGCTTGATAGAGAGTAATAAAACAGGAGCCAATTTAACCTTCAGTTTCAACTGGAGTTTTGTTTTTTTGTGTGTTTAACAATCAGTTTCTCAGTTCGTTTGGCTATTTGTGATCTTCTTGGTGTGATGCCATTGACATTTAGTGTTGCTTCAACTCAGATCCAATTTTGTAATTCAATAATTTGCTCCAATCTAATTTGGCTTTAGTAACTGGAAGTGGTCTTCTCAAAGCTTTAAATGTTGTATCGGACATGATTTGGTAATTGTCAGAAACTGCAGTTTGATATTCATTTTCGGCATCCTCAACTATTTGCACAAATTCATGTGACATTTGATTCTCACTCTGCAAAAAAAGAAAATATTGATTAATTACTCAAAGAAATTGTAAAGATTGGAATGTAATCAATCTAGACGAGAAAAATTGAACAATAAATTCCATGAGATATTAATAAGAAATTAATATGCCATGGATTGAATTGACGTTTCGAGATTATATCTAGTTGAGAATGTTGGTATCAAAATTATTTTCTTTCGATTTAAAAACTCATAAGTTGTGAGTTATAACTAATTGAAATAATCAATTAACTTACTAGATTAACATAAAATATGAGTCATAAAGAATGAGTGAATAATTGCAATGAAACTCAAGAGCATTCAAGTAATTAGGTAATATTATACCTATATTTGGTAATCTACCAAACATGCAAGATAATAAATCTCTGGGTTAATAGTAGTGTTCAAAAACATTAACATACACTAATCGCCAATGGTTTTTTTATTTCTTTTGAGCTGACTAACTGAACATTGCCATCCTCGTAATAATGAACTTGCACTTTAATTATTCCTCTCAGTTCAGCTTGTCCTGATGAAGGATTGAAAGTCGTTGTCCAAATAGATCGCCAACGACCATTACTGCAGATAAATAAAAAACGTAAGAACAATGCTATGTACAATAATTGAAAAAATGAGATTGATCTGATTGCTTTACCAAAAATTACGAGGTTGGAACTGGTGCCCTTCAATGCAAGCAGTCAATGTGATTTCGCCATTATGACTTGATCCAAAAACAGAGCAGCAACCATTAAAATAATGTTCTTTGCAGTAGTTGGTCCACAATTCTTCCAAATTTAGTCTCCATGATTCAGATGTAGCATCAGGCGTCCAGGGTTGATAATCGGATGCTTCTTCTCTAATTGGATCAAAATTGAATGATTTTTGAGACCTGGGATCATAGAATCTACCATCAGGTAGTTCATTAAACTCGGTAATCAAAACCTGAAAGAAGAACGAAACAGAGGATGATTTGATTAAGAAATGTTAAGTAAACAAATTATTGACTCACCCCGTGCTCAGAATTCTCAACTTGAAGTGGTGTCAATTGATCCTTACAATACTGAACAAAAACACTAAATTCATGCGCAAGTAATGATTGAAAAGGGAGGAAGAAACAGATGAAGAAATTAAATCGTGATTAGATAGAAACGACAGTGTTCTGCATAACGGTAATCTGATGTCAAACCCACCCTGCTGCTTGATCACGAAGCAATGCATCATTGTTTAACAGGTAACGAACATCTAAATGTAAAGGGAAAGAGATAGGAGAAAAATAAAAAGTGCATATAAGATGAAAATGAAATTATACACTTTTGCAAATAATTTGATACAGTCAACGATGGATCAAGAAGATGAATAATCTTAATCAGTAGTACTTACCGGTTAAAACTTCATTAAACTCTCCCGGAGGAGCATGAAGAATAAATTGTGTAACAATTTTAAGGTTGATATCTCCATTAGATTCCCTTGCGGTTTTAGAGACTTCCATTTTTACTCTTTAAACTCACAAAACCAAAATATCCAATGCTATAGATTGCTAATTAGTAGGAAAATATCACTAATAAAAGTAAAAAAAATAACTAAATGTTTTTCAATGACAATTAAATAAATAATACAAAATAAAAACAAGAAAACAATAACATTAAATTAATCAGCAATCAGGTAGTTTTGAATGGCTAAGAAACAATTTTCTATGACGGTAACGCCTAGCAATTAAGTCTCTCATTGATCCAGTAACCATGATCACCCAAACCCGCCTTGTCTCCATCGCCATCTGTCGATTTGGAGACTCATCATCAAATCCCTTAAATACGTAAAACTTTTAATTAATTTAATCTAGTTAAATCAATTACACATCAATTGAACATACAATTTACCTTAAAAGTATAAACCTGATTGAATTGATTTTCAGCAAATTTTTCAAGCAAAATCAAAGGAAAAATATTTCTCTCGTTTTGTCAACATTTCCTACAAAATAAAGAAACTAAATATTTTATTTTCATTCCTTTTCAGTTATGCTTACTTTGAAACATTTGCAATCATTTAATTGATCATTCAACACTTAAATTACAATTTAATTGTGATCATTTCAAGGTAAAAGTTTGACCTGAATTTGAGCTCATTGAGATTCTGTATCAACAGATGGCAGTAAAAACTAGGCGGGGTTAGAGGTGATCATGGTTACGGAATCAATGAGAGACTTGATTGCTAGGCGTAACCGTCAATAGTACTATGCTTTAGGTTGTCTGGTTGAAATTTCATTTTGAAAATTGGTTAATTGTGGATTGATTTCATGTTATTTTTTTCTTGTTTTTATTCTGTTTTATCTATCAGATCAACGAATAATTATCTAGTTTTTTTTATTTTATTTAGTGCAACTTCTACTCCACCAGGAAGCTAAATCATTTTTGGATATTTAGTGTGTGAGTGTGTGTTTGTATGTTTTTGTGGTGAGAGTGAAAAATGGAGGTCTCTAAAACCACAAGGAAAGCCAATGGAGATTTCAATATTTCTGCAGACAGTAATCAAAACAATGATCCATCCTCATCTGATTTAGCAGCCGATGATTATGCTATGAATCAAGTTAACAAACCTCCAGACATCGAGCAAGATCTCAAAGAGATGGAGAGACGTAAACGAGTTGAAATGGTTATTAATAGTCAATTGTTTAGGGAAGAGTTGGAAAGGATAATTGAATCACAAATTAATGAAGGTTATGCCCCGTCAAGTTTATCGGCACTTCAACAAGTTACTGAATTACTTTTACCCAATTCTGCGAAAAATTCGTCCTTAGTTAGATTCGGTTCCTCAGCGATACCCATCAATGATATACGAGGAGTTGATGCCTTTAATTATGCGAAAGGTGAAAAATTACTTCGCTGTAAACTCGCTGCTGTTTACCGTTTAGTTGACCTTTACGGTTGGTCTCAAAGCATTTACAATCACGTTTCTGTAAGTTTTCTTGTTTCACTCACTTTTCCTTCTTCACATTTGACTTACCATTGCACAGTGTTTACACTATGTTTCTATAATTACTTTGTTTATATATTAATGTGTTTATTTGCATCTTCATCTTTCTTTTTTAGGTGAGAGTTAGTCAGGACCAAGAGCATTTCTTATTGAACCCATTTGGTCTACAATACCATGAAGTTACAGCCTCATCTCTGCTCAAAGTAGATATGCAAGGAAATGTTATCAACCCGGGCTCCACAAATTTCGGATTTAATAGGTTGGTTGCACGAAAATTGATTGAATCATGTCATCTCTTGATATTTTTGTTGACCCTATTCTTTTTTTTCTATCTTTTATCATCAATTTTTGATGCTAATCATAATTTTCCATCCACTCATCTTCATCTTTTTTCAATTCACCTACCTTACTTTTCCTGACCTTGCTCTCTTTATTTTGTTTCTGTATCTATCTTTTTTTCTCTCATCTTTTTATTTTCTATCATCAGAGCCGGTTTTGTTCTGCATTCTGCGGTCCACTCAGCGAGACCCGACATCAAAGCGATTATTCACATCCATCATCCTACCTGTGTCGCTATTTCATCTATGAAATGTGGTTTATTAAAGATAAGTCAGGAATCAGCTATTATTGGGGATGTCAGCTATCACGAGTTCAAAGGGATTGTGATTGATCCCGATGAACGTGAATCCATCGCTCGTAATCTGGGTCCATTCAACAAGGTAATATTTTCCTCATTCCTTTTTTTATCTTTCTTATTAGCTGTTTTAATTTATGTTATGTCTTATGCCTGTGTAATACTGCTTTGAAAATCTTATTTAATGTTTGATTAAACTCCAGCTTTATCTAAGAGGAGAGCTTTTCGGGAGAAATAATTTGTTTACTAAGAAAACTTTCATTTCAAATGTCAATTTTAATCTTGTTATTGTTTTCTTAACCAACTTGAAATCATTCTTTAATCTTATGATAATTTTCTTTTCGTCTTGATAGGTTCTATTTTTAAGGAATCATGGAGTTCTGACCTGTGGTGAATCGATTGAGGAAGCTCTCCATTTGATGCAGAATGTGGTTCTTGCCTGTGAAACTCAGGTTAAAATTTCGTCCATTGGACTCGACAACATATACCAAATGACAAAAGAATCTGTTGATCAAGTCCGTAGTGTGGTCAAAAGTTCAGTTGCTAAAATTCATGGAACCGGCAAGATCGACGAAAACGAGGCAAACAAAGCAAAAACCCCTGAGGATGATGGTAAAGAAAAGCTTAGGAAATGGAAAGTCTGGGATCTTGAATTTGAAGCCCAAATGCGAATGCTTGACAATGCGGTAAATAAACTTATTCTTATCTTAGCGGTAATCTTAATGCTCTCTCCAATTTTCTCTCTTCACATGACTAAAGCTATTAACCTACCTTTTTTATTTTTACTTTTAATACAAGTGTTATTCCCATTATCCAATTTCATTATTAAATATTAATCTTGTTTTTGATTAACAGGGCTTCCGTACAGGATATATTTACAGACAACCTTTACTGCGCGCTGACCAACAACGACCAAAATATGATGTAGAAATACCTCCGGCAGCTACTTCTCTTCATCAATATTTTGAAGGTGACAAATGGTTGAGTCCATTGAAAAAGTTAGTCGACGGAAAAAAAACTCAAGACAAACTGAAATGGGTCAATTCACCAAATTCATACCAAAAAGTGGAAATCTCCGAAACCGGCACACTTGATCCCAAGAAAATTACCAAGGTACAAGGAACTTAACCCATCGCAAATCAGACACGCTCATACGCACGTAGACGCACGCAAACATACAAACAAACAAAATAGTGAAATCATAAGCCACTACATTGAAAAAACAGCGACCCTCCCTTACCTCTATCCCCACACTTAACTCTCTTTCCAAATTATCTGATAGTTTATGGTTAGCTTCAATCTTGAGTTTATATTTTGCATGGATGACAATCTAATTGGGTAGACAAAAAATAACAATTATTTTATCCCTCATCTATCTTCTTCCCATCAAAGTCAATCTCATCCACAAATGATACTCATAATTGCTTGCTATACTCTTAATCTAATTAACCTTGTCCTCCCTCTTGATGATTTAATTTTTCCATTCATTTTAAAAAACTAAAAGGGCAGAGAGAAAAGTAGAGTAAATAAAAAAACGAGAGATCAAAGATGTAACGAATACATTTAATATTTGCGCAAGCTTAGATTATTCTAAAGATATTCCTCAATCTACTCTCCACCTACTCTAAGCTATTGTAACAATATTGTTCAGACAAGCCCAAAAAGTTACCCTAGATTATCTGCTTCAACTATTGATGTTGAAGCAAGACTAAAACTATCCATCTAGTCATAAACCTTGTCAGATAAATTTTCGGGTCCATCTCTTGTCATGATTATTAACCTAACTATCATGAAAAAAAAGTAACCCAACATTGATGTAATCGAAAAGCATTGGTTAAAATTTTTGGGTTTGGCTCAATATATTGTTACATTATATTATAGCAATTTGCATAAACATATTTCACCAAATTTATAAAACTTAATGATGTTGAGATGTTCCAATTTTCTTGCTAAGTTAACTTTTTTCTTGAACATGAAAAAAAATCAATCAGTCAAAGCAGTGAAGGAAAAAGCAAAAATGGTTGAAAGTAAATTAGCAACAAGAAGAAGAAAAAGAAGTACAAAAAATGATGGTAAAGGTTAACTGGTTTGCGCTTATTAAATTAATATGCAGCTTATGAAATCCTCTAACGATTAACGATGATAACAACAATGCTGATGATGATAATAATGGTCAAAGAATTTGCCTAACAAGGTTTCATATCGAAGATAAAAGTGATTGATGGTGAATTAGAGAGAGAGAATAAGTAATACAAAAAAGTTACCTCATATTTTTTACTTCTTCTTCTTCTTTTTCTTCCACCAGAAAGACTGACTTTAATTCAATGCATCAAGGATGTGTGTTCAAACTTTGCTACAGTACCTGTACTTCAAGATCCACCGCTAACATCAACAACCCCTATTTTACTCTCCTTTACTCTGGCCACTTCCCCTGTGCCTCTCACTCTTAAAGCTTCTTCAAAGTAACCACTAAAAGCACTAGCCGTGGCCATGATTCTCCCACTCATGTGCTACCTTTCATGACTCACAAAACATTCTCCTTCTCTCTCTCACTCTTTCTGATATACCTTGAAACCTGTTGCTTAAACTCACGAAATAATAGAATCAAAATTTGTTATTTTCTTAGTGGTTACTTCATTTTAAACCTACTCTTGTCAGTCCAAGTTTCTCCTTCACATTTTCACTCTCTCATTCACACTCTTCATCAGCTTATTCTTCCTCCCCTTTTCAGCTTTCCATCTTTCTCTTTCTCTCTTCCTTTTCCTTGTCTCTTTCTCCGTCATCCTAAAATGTCTCACCCGATTGATTTCAACGTTGCTATATCACCTACTCACACTTATTTAACGCTTAAATCAAAGCTATTCTCATAGACTAAAAAATTGCTGAAGAAGTTTTCTGATCTAGTCTCACTTTTCTTTCCTTTTCTCTTTCTCTCATCTACCTAATCAATATAAACTATCAATTTAATCGCATTTAATCAATTTTCCTTTTTCTCTTTTCCCTTTTCCATTCAAAATAATATTTTCCACTTAAGTTACTCAATAACTTATGTTATTCATTGAATGCCGCACCTTTCCCTTCACATTTTATTAGCTTCTTATTAGCTCTTCATTTATACTTTTTATTTGATTTAATTACATCACAATCTTTTCAGATAATTGTTCACTTTGTTTCACTTTAACTAGTCATTATAACATTTTATTTCAAAATTAATTCAAATATTTTGATAGATCGTTTATTTACCAATTACTAGCTTCTTCACCACGTATGTAATTTTCAGGCTGAAAACGTAAACATCAATAAGGCTTTTACTTTTTCTGATTCATTTGTTTGCTTTCTGTAAACCATTCACAAAACTATCCCAAAGAGCGTACTTTTACGCTCTTTTTTTGTTCATATAGAGATGATGTTTTTATCCACATCAACATCATCATCTTCAGCAACCACAACAATAGCAATAATCATAATGGCACGATGATTTAACTGTTACCTTTCATAACAATACATTGCCAACCATGATTATAACTAGATTTTGATTATCATGGCCTCTCCTTTTTGCTTTTTTTGCGCTTCTACTACTTTTACTTGAACACTATTTTCCCCTTTTTCCCTATCCTTGTCGTCCTCAATCCTCAACTCATCCTAAACCTGAACAACAATAATAATTATAATAACAACAACAATCATAATAATCATGGTTATAATAACGGTTAATGATTGAAACCAAATTTCCAAACTATTCTCATCATGAAACTTTTTTTTGTCTCATTCCATTGTTTCCTCTTCTTCTCTCTCATTCTCTATCGATCTCAAATAATAATAAAAAAGACATAAATATGATCAACCTGTCTGAATTATTATATTATTATTTATCTTTTTTAAATTTTATTAATTCTTTTCATTTTATCTCTTTCAGTGGGTTCAAGACTCTTCACCTTCACATAGTAATCCAGTTAAAATTGATAATCATCATCAATTTGTGCCTGTTAATGTGGATCCTGGCGAGTTTAAGCGAAGACAGAAAGAGGTTTGATCTTTCAATATCAATAAACTTACACATAGATTCAGTGTTGGTGGTTTATTTTACAAACATGGAGCAAGTTACAAACAGAAAAGTTAAAGACACATTTAATAGGATGATGATGCTTGCCTCTGTAAAAATATAAGAATGTGGAAGACGATGTTGAAGAAGAAGGCAAAGAATTAGGGCGTTGGCATTCATACCCTGAACAAACTCAGTTTCAAAAGCTCTCTATCTCAATTTTATCACATATATTCTTGTTATACTTGTTTTCCTCTCTCTTTTACTCTTTCTTTCTTGATTCCTTCTTCTTGTTTTTCATCTATCTGGCTTGCTATACTCTGACCTCAATTTTTCTTGTTGAATCCTAAGGGTTTGTTCAACTTGAAAAAAGAGTCCAAGGCCATAAAATGAAAGACAAAAACTGATAATCTAATGGATTTAGGAAATCATGATTCGTCTGGAATATTTTTTGATCAGTCTCAGTTTTTTGAAGTCACTTTTCATTCCACACTTTCAACACATAACTTCCTACATTTTATTCTCACTCTCACCTCAACTACTGTTTCGTTTGTCACATCCAGACAATAATGCTCCATGTAATTAATTAACTAATCAATATTTCATTTTGATACTCTTTTCCAGATGAAACAAGTTAGGATGCAAAATAAAATATCTGGTGGTCCACAAAGTCATATTTTGGAAGGTGGTACCTGGGAAGAATTAAATAAACGTCAAAGTGGAGATGAAACTGATCATGTAGTTCTTGTTGGAGCAGCATCTAAAGGCATTATTCAACGTGAATACCAACACAATGCAACCGTTTATAAGAGTGCATATGCCAAAAATCCATTCGACAATGTTTCCGACCAAGAACTGGATGAATATAAAAAGTACATTGAGAAAAAACAGAGAGGAGAACCAGGTTAGAATTTAAATCAACTGAACCCAAGCTCAACAATCAGATTTTTTCTCTCTTTCTAACTCTTTCTCACTTCTCTTTCATGGTTATCACAATATTAGTTGACGATGTCCCTGACCGTTTCAGACACCTTTTATTGGAACCAGTGGCGGAACACATGAACGAGGATCAAATAACTAGTCCTGTTGAACAAATTTCTAAATCTCCTCAATCCCCACTCTCTGATGAAGGTAAACAATCTTTTTCAGGTCAAATTTTTAATCTTACTCAACATATTATATTTTCATCATTTTTTCATCTTAAAATATTTAATCGACTTAAAATGGAAACTTGGAGACTACACTTTCCCTTAGCACCAATCAACTCAAACAAGGAAAATGATTTTATTTTGTCTTCTCTTCAGTGTCAGAGTATTACAAATTGTCTGAGTATTATGTCTAAATGATAAGCCAAGTTGTATTTAATTCAGTATTCTTGATTAGACCTTGCAATCAAAGCAAAATGTAGTATATTTTTTTAAATTAGTGAAGTTGAATTACTTTCCGATTCATCAATTGACTAAGGTTCACATTTTTCTTGATTTTCATTTCTTTTTCTTCTCTTTTTTCTCAACCAAACAAAAAAAACATTGATAAACCCACAAAAAATTTCAATGAAAGCCTCCAAATCTCTATTGAACCATTCAAAATCTTCAGATCTTCAGATAATTATCACACCAAGTCCTGATGGTTAGTTTTCAATTTTATTACTTAATTTTACTTTCGTTGGCTTGAGTTCATTTTTAATAACTTGCAACCTGTTGATGTCATTTCTGGAACATAACTTTCCTTTTGATTACATAGAAATTTATTTCTTCAACAATTACACAAAGTAACTAATCTTGTTCTCACAGACTAACATCACAATTAAGTTTGCTTGCATTCAATTTTGAAGCTCCATCTAATTTCCAAGTGTTTTTTTCTGCAACAATAACAGCAACAACAACAATACAATTGAAACAAAAGCTTTCCAATATGTTGAAAAAAAAACAATCGCTTGTTTGATATTTTTCAACATTACACGACATTAATCTTAGCCTTATACTATTCACAATCAAGTTTTGAAAAATGTTTAAACCATTTTTTACCTTAAATTGCTGCTCATTTTCTGGGTAACAAACATACAACAACATACAATCATCTGGCATGAAAAGCTGCTTCAATTTCCATTTTCCTTTGCTTTCTAACTGTTTAGTTACTTTTACCTTGATCATCATTTTTCTCTCTTCCTATTTCTCTTTCTCTTCATCTCATTAGACTCTAAAAACAGCAATAATCGTGTGCATCGCTCACATTCAGCGCGGCTTGCTGCACAAGGTAATAACAATAATACTAAGAAATTAACTCTTCTCTTCTCTTTCTTCCCTTTCCTCTCTTCTCTTCTCCACCATCGCCATTATCATCATTATCATCATAAACATTACCATCTTCACTTTCACCAACCTGTTTCACCGTTTAATCAAATACTATCATTATAAACACCAAACAAAAACACACCACCTTACTAATATAAACTTCACCATGCAATAATCTCTCAACTAATTCACTGCAATTAACACTTCAATAAACCACCTCGGTCACTCATCATTTTCAGAATTTTCGGAGTCTCGTAAAACTGAAGGTATATTTACTTTACCAAATTAGTATTTCATTTTTATTACAATTTTACATTTATTTTACCTTATATTGTCCAATCAATATAGCTTTTGTTAGCTTTACCTGTTGAGTCTATTTAATTTTTGTCTTGCACAGCATATCAACATTATTGGTATTTTACGTTAACAATTTTTATTTTTACTCCTCAAAACCCGTTTAATATTCCCATATCAATACCAATGATGATTTAGTGGTATTTTGCTCAAACATGATCCTCATCTAATCCTAAACTTATGCTTATTTTGTTTGCTTATTTCACACCATCAGTTGACAGACATTATATTTCATTGTCAGTTAATTTATCAACCATATAATATTTAACATGTAATATAAATATTACTTTCAGTTTATTTCCTATTTTCTGTTATCCAATCAATGGAAACATTCACATAGTCAAAGAAACATCGTCTATTATACATTTTATTTACTCACAACTCTTTCACTCTTTTTTTATCAAGATAAATCATAGATTATTTTAAACTAGTTTAAAATCATTAATTGCCTGAAATGCTTATATTCACACTTGAATGTAAAAAGTGCCAATTAACAATGAAAGGGATCATTCAAATGTCAATTCCTCATCCTTATCCTCATCTTCACCCAACCCAATCCTTTGCTTTTACATCCCTATCATCATCATTATCATCATCAACAACATCAACATCATAAATTTCAGAATCGCTCCTTTTCTTGTCCTTTTTTTCCATGCTTTTCTTGCTTTCTCTTTACAAACTGTCCATGCCCAATCTTTGAAAACTTATTGTCATAAATTATTGTGCATGCTTTAATTGAATGTTATATTTTTTGCACGTCTTTCTTTCTTTCTCTATTTGCATCTTGGCTTGTCTTCATAGCTGCCGAAGATAATTACTTTGCTCGTCGATTTAAATCTGAACGTAAACCCAAATATAGTACGAGTAAGTTTTTGTTTTCCCAGAATGTTTCATTTCATTTTCAATTTAGCATCTAACGAATCTTTCCTTTTTAATTATCTCAATCTGAATCTTGCCTATTCTAATCTTTACTTTTTCTTTATAATTTTTTGTCTTCTTAGGTGATACTGCCGTAAATGGAGAGGAAAAATTAGGTGATGTTTCTGGAGCCTCAAGGAGTAGCAAAGAGGTGCGTATTTCTTGTTATTTCCGTCCTTTACGTCGTTTTTCGTCATCAACTCACAATTTCCTTCTTATTTTTTTCATCTAATTTCAGGGTTCTCCGGTTAAAGATTTGTCAGAAGATAAATCATCATCTAAAAAGGATAAAAAGAAGAAAGGAATACGGACACCATCTTTCTTGAAGAAGAAGAAGCACAAGAAAGAAAAAGAATTGGCTTAACTTTCTAACAATTTTATTTGACAACAAAGATATACAAACATACAAAATGGAACTGGTGAAAATTGTGTAACCCTTTTAGTTGTTGACAGGATAATCACGAGATTACCGTACGATTATTACCTTACGAGTTGTGATTCACGGCAGCTTTCGGCTTATTGCACAATTAAGCTAATGTTCGAGTGACAATTGCTATTAATTGTTATGGAGCCCTTCCTAATTCCCGGTCCTTTGGTGTAACATATACACATCAATTTCATCAGCTGTACAACCACTTCCCTCTGCGACACATTTATCAATCAACTCATGAATCACATTTTGATGATGTTTAGGTCTCAAAATAATCTTTTTTTCCTCCCCAAATTATGGTAATAACTTTAGTTGACATTTCAACGATGTTCATTCGCGTCGAAATATAACTTTCAATTGGACAGCGTACTTTTCAACACGAATGGTGATTAAATTATCTTCAACGCTCTTGCAAATCTATACCAACAATTTTCCAACAACAATGTCAATTGTCTCACCGAAAATTCTGTACTTTCCGGCAGCATAAACAATGATCTGCGTATTTTATCAGCTAAAATAAAGTACGGCAGGATTTTTGGCACCTGTAACTAGCTTCCCCATTTCAATGTCTGCAAATTAAAATTGAAATTTTAAATATTAACCAACACATTGAGTTGATTAAAACTTATAATGCCCTAATATACAAATATAATCCATATCCATATTAATCCATCGATACTAATTTTCACTGAAAGATGAAAACAGATCGAAAATGAAGAAGAAAACAATGAAACGAAGCATTTTTAAGGACTGAATTTTTAAGCAGAAAACAATTGTACATTAAAAAATAAGCTTCGCATTCTGTTCTAAATTATGTTATCTTTTTTATAAGTAAAATTCGAGTTTAATAGAATAATTAGCCATGGGTTCTTGAAAAGTAAGGATATGATAAGATTACTGCTCCTCCAGCTATACGCCATTTGCAAATCGGGATCAGGTACGGCTCGATGTTCATAGACCTTATTGTACTTATCTGATTTCCAGTGTAAAGCTGTCGATATTTTTGTTCACCATATTTAATTACTTCTATTCGTCGATTCAAAAAATTTCTGCCATTGATATGTTGACAATAAGAAGGTGTGCATTGATCATCATCAAAATTTGAACGATGGTGCAACCATAAATTCACACGGAATGGAGGCTCTCTATCCTGGAAACTTATAGAAACTGCATAACAATCACCATCATTGAAACATTTCAAATAATCCAATTCATCATATTCTGGTGGGTCTTGTCTTTCTATATTATCAACAGCAAAAACAGATACATCTAGATGCTGCGAATACGGCTCCTGATACTCTGTTAAACAACCATGAATTTTATTCAATGGTATTCCTGTTATCGATGCAAGCTATTCAAGATATAATCAGAAAATATTTACGTAAAGTTCATTCCAAAGTGAACATCAAAAGAAAATACGAAAATTTAATGAACATACTTGTTGTAAAAATTGTCGCCCTACATCTAGACCATCTGACCAGTCTAACAAAAGATCATGATAATCTTCACCAGCAACCTTTACTTTGATAGTAACTATTATAAATTACATTGAATTGATCATCACTTTACAAATGCAAAATATTATCAAGAAATAGATGCTAATAAACTTACTTTTATCTGGAGCGTAGCTCTTGCATCTGGGGCAATAAGATTTACTTTGCATATTTCTCCTGAATATTCCTTTAAAAGAATAGAAACATAAATATTATTGTTTAGATAATAAATCCGTTGGAAAATTCACCTTAGAAATGTTGATAAATAAATGAACCACAAAATTCAACCCGAGTTCTAACAGAAAGAATCTCGACTTAATTCAAAGATGAAAATAAAGATTCAAAACTTTGTCTTTGAAACATAAAAACCAACCTAGAATCAAGTTTAGCCTAATGAGCGCGAGATTAGATTTTTGGGTTTAAGGCGCATATTTCAAAACGACGCTGCAAAAGCCTTTAATTTCGTAAGTAAATTCAGCAAATTGAGTAAATTAATTTATGTATCTTTCGATGAGTCTTCATACCTACTAGTTTTAATTGCTAGTCAATTTGAAACAATCGGTTGTTTTAGGTTGTTACTTAATAGGCACAATCAACACAATTATCAAATTCATGCACAGATTCATCAAAGATTTCTCTATTGAACAGTTTTCGAGAAAACCAGTCAAACCGATCGTTTTTAATGATCATGAGAGTTAACGAGCTGAAACTTAATATTTATCCATGAACATGGTAAATCACATCATGAATTGAATAATTTATCGATTCTCGTGATATCATCTACAATCATAATTCTTTACCAAACATAAAGTTTATGGGCTATAACAGTATATGACTGAATAGCGAATTAAATCTGAACTAATTCATTCAATAATGAAGATCCTTCTAACGCATGAGTTCTGTGGTTAGTAATTCAAGTTTCAAAGCTGACCACATAAGTAATCCATGCTATAACTTTTTTTTCTATGATCTTGAATGATTTGTTATTTCAATATATTATAGCCCATAGTGAAATCTAATATTTGAACATGATTGATGATACCGTTACCGAAATACTGAGGCTCAGAGTTTTTAGATCAATGTCCAGAATAAGAGAATTGTTGAAAATTGAAAAAAATGTTCGGTCAGTGATGTTACCAACAATTTTTACGGACGAATAATAAAAAGGACGAATTAGTGAAATCATTTTAAAATGAGCTTTCTTTGTTAAGTAAAATTATTTATATTTATCGTGAGTATAATTAAGTGAATAAAATTGAATGCAATGATTAGCCGTGAGTTCGTGGATAGTAAGGATGAAAGAACCTCTCATAGACTCGAGATGAGCACCTTGGCTCCATGTACGGCTGAATGCCCATAGACCTTATCGTACTTCTTGCATCTCCATCCCAAAACTCTCCAAATTTTGGTTCACCATATTTAATGATTTCTGCCCGTCGATTCAAAAAATCTCGGCCATTGATATGCTGACAATACTGAGCTGTACATTGATTGTCATCGAAATTTGAACGACTGTGCAAAAAAAAATTTACGTGGAATGGAGGCTCATGATTCTCGAAAGACATTTCAAGTGCATAGCAATCACCATCATTTAAAATTTTCAGATGATTAAAGTCATAATATCTATTTGGAGTATTTCTTCTATTGAAAAAAAACTCCACACGATCAGAATCAGGATAGCATTTGATCACAAGCCTGTTCATTTTATAAATTGGTATTCCTATTATAGATGCAAGCTATTGAAGGCATAATCAGAAAATATTTACGTTTAGTTTAGTCAGTAGTGAAAGTCAAAATGAAATATAAAATGTAATGAACATACTTGGCGAAATACTTGTCGACCTATATCTTCCCTGTCTGACCAATCTAACAAAAGATCATGATAATCTTCACCAGCAACCTTTACTTTGATAGTAACTATTTTAAGTATTATGAATAACATTGAATTAATCATCACTTTACAATTTTTATTTAAAATTATCAATAAATAGATGTTAATAAACTTACTTTTATCTGGAGCATCATTATTTTCCATATTTCTCATTGAATATTTCCTTAAAAGAATAGAAACATAATTATTGTTGTTTGGACAATAAATAAGTTGGAAACTTTACCTCCGAAATGTTGATAAATGAATGAACCTCAAAATTTAAATTATGTTTAGTCAAAATAAACTTAAACTTGAGCAGAAAGAATCTCGACTTGATTGAAAGATGAAAACAAGGATTCAAAACTTTGTATAATAAACCTAAAAACCAACTCTAGAGTCAAGTTTAGACCAATGAGCTCAAGATCATTTCTAGATTTTAAGGCGCATACTTCAAAACGCCACTGACAAAGCCTTTAATTTTGTAAAAAAACCAGTACATTGTGTATATTAAGTAAATTTATCTATTAATCTTTCTACGAGTTTTCATTGCTAGTCAATTTGGTGCTTATTTTCATCATTATCATCACCAACATCATAAATTTCAGAATCGCTCCTTTTCTTGTCCTTTTTTCCATGCTTTTCTTGCTTTCTCTTTACAAACTGTCCATGCCCAATCTTTGAAAACTTATTGTCATAAATTATTGTGCATGCTTTAATTGAATGTTATATTTTTTGCACGTCTTTCTTTCTTTCTCTATAAGCATCTTGGACTAGTCTTCATAGCTGCCGAAGATAATTACTTTTGCTCGTCGATTTAAAATCCGAACGTAAACCCAAATATAGTACGAGTAAGTTTTTGTTTTCCCAGAATGTTTCATTTCATTTTCAATTTAGCATCTAACAAATTTTTCCTTTTTAATTATCTCAATCTGAATCTTGCCTATTCTAATCTTTAATTTTTCTTTATAATTTTTTGTCTTCTTAGGTGATACTGCCGTAAATGGAGAAGAAAAATTAGGTGATGTTTCTGGAGCCTCAAGGAGTAGCAAAGAGGTGCGTATTTCTTGTTATTTCCGTCCTTTTCGTCGTTTTTCTCATCAACTCACAATTTCCTTCTTATTTTTTTCATCTAATTTCAGGGTTCTCCGGTTAAAGATTTGTCAGAAGATAAATCATCATCTAAAAAGGATAAAAAGAAGAAAGGAATACGGACACCATCTTTCTTGAAGAAGAAGAAGCACAAGAAAGAAAAAGAATTGGCTTAACTTTCTAACAATTTTATTTGACAACAAAGATATACAAACATACAAAATGGAACTGGTGAAAATTGTGTAACCCTTTTAGTTGTTGACAGGATAATCACGAGATTACCGTACGATTATTACCTTACGAGTTGTGATTCACGGCAGCTTTCGGCTTATTGCACAATTAAGCTAATGTTCGAGTGACAATTGCTATTAATTGTTATGGAGCCCTTCCTAATTCCCGGTCCTTTGGTGTAACATATACACATCAATTTCATCAGCTGTACAACCACTTCCCTCTGCGACACATTTATCAATCAACTCATGAATCACATTTTGATGATGTTTAGGTCTCAAAATAATCTCTTTTTTCTCCCCAAATTATGGTAATAACTTTAGTTGACATTTCAACGATGTTCATTCGCGTCGGAATATAACTTTCAATTGGACAGCTTACTTTTCAACACGAATGGTGATTAAATTATCTTCAACGCTCTTGCAAATCTATACCAACAATTTTCCAACAACAATGTCAATTGTCTCACCGAAAATTCTGTACTTTCCGGCAGCATAAATAATGATCTGCGTATTTTATCCGCTAAAATAAAGTACGGCAGGATTTTTGGCACCTGTAACTAGCTTCCCCATTTCAATGTCTGCAAATTAAAATTGAAATTTTAAATATTAACCAACATACTTATAAAACTGATAATGCCCTATCAAATATGAAAATATAATCCATATCCATATTTATTCATCAATACTAAGTTTCACTAAAAGATGAAAACAGATGCAAAGATGAAGAAGAAAACAATTCTTAAGAACTGTTTTAAAAATTGAAACAGAAAACAATTATACATTCAAAATAAGCTTCGCATTCTTAATAATGCTATCTTTATTCAAGTAAAATTCAGCTATAATAGAATAATTAGCCATGGGTTCGTGGAAAGTAAGGATATGATTCGAATACTTCTCCTGCAGCTATACTTAATTTGCAAATCGGTCTCAGGTACGGATCAATACCCATAGACCTTATTGTACTCATCTGATTTCCAGTGTAAAGCTGTCGATATTTCGATTCGACGTGTTTAATGATTTCTATTCGTCGATTCAAAAAATCTCTGCCATTGATATGTTGACAATAAGCAGGTGTGCATTGATTATCATCAAAATTTGAATGATGGTGCAACCATAAATTCACACGAAATGGAGGCGCTCCATCCACTAACATAGCAACTGCAAAACAATCACCATCATTTAAAAGTTTCAAATCATCCAATTCAGCATATTCTGCTGGACTTTGTCTTTCTCCATTAACAACATGAAAAAAATCTAGACGATATTGTTCATATGGATTCAGATACTCTGTTAGACAACAATGAATTTTATTCAGTGGTATTCCTGATATCGATGCAAGCTATTAAATATATAATCAGAAAATATTTACGTTAAGTTTGGTCTAAAGTGAAAGTTAAAATGAAATACAAAATTGCTGAACATACTTGTTGTAAAAACTGTAGACCTACGTCTAGACCATCTGACCAATCTATTAAAACATCATGATAATCTTCACCAGCAACCTTTACTTTGATAGTAACTATTAAAAATTACATTGAATTAATCATCATAAGAAATAGATGTAAATAAACTTACTTTTATCTGGAGTAATAGTTGCTTTGCATCTGGAGCAGTAAGAATTTCTTTGCATATTTCTCCTGAATATTCCCTTTAAAAGAATAGAAACATAACTATTATTGTTCGAACAATAAATCAGTTGAAAACTTTACCTCCGAAATGTTGATAAATAAATGAACCACGAAATTAAACCCGAGTTCTAACAGAAAGAATCTCAACTTAATTTGAAGATGAAAATAAAGATTCAAAACTTTGTCTTTGGAACATAAAAACCAACCTAGAATCAAGTTTAGACTAATGAGCGCCAGATCAGATTTTTGGGTTTAAGGCGCATATTTTAAAACGATGCTGCAAAAGCCTCCAATTTCGTAAGTGAATTTATTTATGTACTTTCGACGAGTCTTAATTGCCTACTAGTTTTAATTGCTAGTCAATTTGAAACAATCGGTTGTTTTAGGTTGTTTCTTAATAGACAAAATAAACACAATTATCAAATTTATGCACAGATTCCTCAAAGATTTCTCTATTGAACAGTTTTCGAGAAAATCAGTCAAACCGATCGCTTTTAATGATCATGAGAGTTAACGAGCTGAAACTTAATATTTATCCATGAAAATGGTGGATCACATCATGGTTTGAATGATTTAATTATTAATCAATTCTTCTCAAACATTTTTCTTGATTTAGGTCACTGACCTCGAAACTTTGAGTCGCGATATTTCGAGATTGTACCAAACATAAGTTTTATGGGCTATAACAGCATATGACTGAATAGCACATCAAATCTGAAATAATTCATTCAATAATGAAGATCCTTCTAACGCATAAGTTTTGTGTTTATTAAATCAAGTTTCAAAGCTGGCCACATAAGTAATCCATGCTATAACTTTTCTTTGTAGGATCTTGAATGATTCAATATTTCAATATATTATAGCCCATAGTGAAATCAAATCTTTGACCATGAATAATGATACCATTACCGAAATACTGAGGCTTAAATTTTATAAGTCGATGGCCAAGATTAAGAGAACTGTTGATAAATTGAAAAAAATGTTCGGTCAGTGATGTTACCAACAATTTTCACGGACGAATAATAAATTGGACAAATTAGTGGCATCATTTTAAAATGAGCTTTCTCTGTTGTGTAAAATTGTTTAATCTTTATCATGAGTATAATTAAGTGAATAAAGTCAAATGTAATAATTAGCCGTGAGTTCGTGGATAGTAAGGATGACGAGGCCTATCATAGAATTGAAATGAGCAGATTGGGTCCATGTATGGCTGTATGCCCATAGACCTTATCGTACTTCTTGTATCTCCATCGTAATACTCTCCATATTTTGGTTCACCATATTTAATGATTTCTATTCGTCGATTCAAGAAAGCTCTGCCATTGATATGTTGACAATACGAAGGTGTGCATTGATCGTCATCAAAATTTGAACGATGGTACAACCATAAATTCACACGAAATGGAGGCTCTCTATTCTGGAATAACATAGAAAGTGCAAAACAATCACCATCTCTTAAAAGTTTCAAATCATCCAATTCTGATGGGCTTTGTCTTTTTTCATTAACAACAGGAAAAACAGCTAGACGATACTGTTCATATGGATCCTGATACTCTGTTAGACAACCATGAATTTTATTCAATGGTATTCCTGTTATCGATGCAAGCTATTAAATATATAATCAGAAAATATTTACGTTAAGTTTAGTCAAAAGTGAACAAAAGAAAATACAAAATTAAATGAACATACTTGTTGTAAAAATTGAAGACCTACATCTTCACTGTCTGACCAATCTATCAAAACATCATGATAATCTTCACCAGCAACCTTTACTTTGATGGTAACTATTGTAAATTATATAAAATTAATTATCATTTTCAAAATATTATCAATAAATAGATGTTAATAAACTTACTTTTATCTGGAGTAATAGTTGCTCTGCATCTGGTGCAGTAAAAATTACTTTGCATATTTCTCCTGAATATTCCCTTTAAAAGAATAGAACCATAACTATTATTGTTCGAACAATAAATCAGTTGAAAACTTTACCTCCGAAATGTTGATAAATAAATGAACCACGAAATTAAACCCGAGTTCTAACAGAAAGAATCTCGACTTGATTTAAAGATGAAAATAAAGACTCAAAACTTTGTCTTTGAAACATAAAAACCAACCTAGAATCAAGTTTAGCCTAATGAGCGCGAGATCAGATTTTTGGGTTTAAGGCGCATATTTTAAAACGACGCTGCCATAGCCTTTAATTTCGTAAGTAAATTCAGTATATTGCGTAAATTTATTTATGTACTTTCGACAAGTTTTCAATGAGTAGCAAAGAGGTACGTATTTCTTGTTATTTCCGTCCTTTTCGTCGTTTTTCTGATCCACTCACAATATACTTTTTATTTTTTTATCTAATTTCAGGGTTCTGCTGGGAAAGATTTGTCAGACCACATCCCTCTGCGACACATTTATCAATCAACGCATGAATCACATTTTGATGATGTTTAGGTCTCAAAATAATCTTTTTTTCTCCCTCAAATTATGGTAATAAACTTTAGTTGACATTTCAACGATGTTCATTCGCGTCGAAATATAACTTTCAATTGGACAGCTTACTTTTCAACATGAATGGTGATTAAATTATCTTCAACGCTCTTGCAAATCTATACCAACAATTTTCCAACAACAATGTCAATTGTCTCACCGAAAATTCTGTACTTTCCGGCAGCATAAACAATGATCTGCGTATTTTATCCGCTAAAATAAAGTACGGCAGGATTTTTGGCACCTGTAACTAGCTTCCCCATTTCAATGTCTGCAAATTGAAATTGAAATTTTAAATATTAACCAACACACTGAGTTGATTAAAACTTAAAATGCACTAATATACAAATATAATCCATATCCATATTAATCCATCGATACTAATTTTCACTGAAAGATGAAAACAGATCAAAGATGAAGAAGAAAACAATGAAACGAAGCATTTTTAAGGACTGAATTTTTGAGCAGAAAACAATTGTACATTAAAAAATAAGCTTCGAATTCTGTCTTGAATTATGTTATCTTTTTTATAAGTAAAATTCGAGTTTAATAGAATAATTAGCCATGGGTTCTTGAAAAGTAAGGATATGATCCGAGTATTGCTCTTCCAGCTATATGCAATTTGCAACTCGGGATCAGGTATGGCTCGATGTTCATAGACCTTATCGTACTCATCTGATTTCCTGTGTAAAGCTGTCGATATTTTTGTTCACCGTTTTTCATGATTTCAATTCGTCGATTCAAAAAATCTCTGCCATTGATATGTTGACAATAAGAAGGTGTGCATTGATCATCATCAAAATTTGAATGATGGTGTAACCATAAATTCACACGGAATGGAGGCTCTCTATCCTGGAAACTTATAGAAACTGCATAACAATCACCATCATTTAAAAGTTTCAAATCATCCAATTCATCCGATTCTGGTGGGTCTTGTCTTTCTATATTAAAAACACCAAAAACAGATACATCTAGATGCTGCGAATACGGCTCCTGATACTCTGTTAGACAACCATGAATTTTATTCAATGGTATTCCTGTTATCGATGCAAGCTATTCAAGATATAATCAGAAAATATTTACGTAAAGTTCATTCCAAAGTGAACATCAAAAGAAAATACGAAAATTTAATGAACATACTTGTTGTAAAAATTGTCGCCCTACATCTAGACCATCTGACCAGTCTAACAAAAGATCATGATAATCTTCACCAGCAACCTTTACTTTGATAGTAACTATTATAAATTACATTGAATTGATCATCACTTTACATATACAAAATATTATCAAGAAATAGATGCTAATAAACTTACTTTTATCTGGAGCGTAGCTCTTGCATCTGGGGCAATAAGATTTACTTTGCATATTTCTCCTGAATATTCCTTTAAAAGAATAGAAACATAACTATTATTGTTTAGATAATAAATCAGTTGGAAAAGTTACCTTAGAAATGTTGATAAATGAATGAACCACGAAATTCAACCCGAGTTCTAACGCAAAGAATCTCGACTTAATTTGAAGATGAAAATAAAGATTCAAAACTTTGTCTTTGAAACATAAAAAACAACCTAGAACCAAGTTTAGACAATGAGTGCGAGATCAGATTTTTGGGTTTAAGGCGCATATTTCAAAACGACGCTGCAAAAGCCTCCAATCTCGTAAGTAAATTCAGTAAATTAAGTAAATTTATTTATGTACTTTCGATGAGTCTACATTGCCTACTATTTTTAACTACTAGTCAATTTGAAACAATCGGTTGTTTTAGGTTGTTTCTTAATAGACAAAATAAACACAATTATCAAATTTATGCACAGATTGATCAAAGATTTCTCTATTGAACAGTTTTCGAGAAAATCAGTCAAACCGATCGTTTTTTATGACCATGAGAGCTAACGAGCTGAAACTTAATATTTATCAATGAACATGGTAAATCACATCATGAATTGAATAATTTTATCGATTCTCGTGATATCATCTACAATCATAATTCTTTACCAAACATAAGGTTTATGGGCTATAACAGTATATGACTGAATAGCGAATAAAATCTGAACTAATTCATTCAATAATGAAGATCCTTCTATCGCATGAGTTCTCGTTTAGTAATTCAAGTTTCAAAGCTGACCACATAAGTAATCCACGCTATAACTTTTGTTTCTAGGATCTTGAATGATTCAATATTTCAATATATTATAGCCCATAGTGAAATCTAAACTTTGACCATGAATAATGATACCGTTACCGAAATACTGAGGCTCAAATTTTATAAGTCGAAGGCCAAGATTAAGAGAACTGTTGATAAATTGAAAAAAACGTTCGGTCAGGCTTGTTACCAACAATTTTTACGTACGAATAATAAATTGGACAAATTAGTGAAATCATTTTATAATGAGCTTTCTTTGTTGTGTAAAATTGTTTAATCTTTATCATGAGTATAATAAGTGAATAAAGTCAAATGAAATAATTAGCCGTGAGTTCGTGGATAGTAAGGATGACGGGGCCTATCAAAGACTCGAGATGAGCAGATTGGATCCATGTACGGCTGGATGCCCATAGACCTTATCGTACTTGTTGCATCTCCATCCCAAAACTCTCCAAATTTTGGTTCACCATATTTAATGATTTCTACCCGTCGATTCAAAAAATCTCGGCCATTGATATGTGGGCAATACCAAGCTGTACATCTATTTTCATCGAAATTTGAACGATTGTACAGTTCTAAATTTACGTGAAATGGAGGCTCATGATTCTCGAAATACATTCCAAGTGCATAGCAATCACCATCATTTAAAATTTTCAGACGATTAAAGTCATAATATTCATTTGGAGTATTTCTTTTATTGCGAAAAAACTCATCACGATCAGAATCAGGATAGCATTGAATCACAAGATAGTTCATTTTATAAATTGGTATTCCTATTATAGATGCAAGCTATTAAAGGTATAATCAGAAAATATTTACGTTAAGTTTAGTCAGTAGTGAAAGTCAAAATGAAATATAAAATGAAATTAACATACTTGGGGAAATATTTGTCGACCTACATCTTCCCTGTCTGACCAATCTATCGACAGATCATGATAATCTTCACCACCAACCTTTATTTTGATAGTAACTATTATAAATTACATTGAATTCATCATCACATTACAATTTTTATTTACAAATATCAATAAATAGATGTTATTAAACTTACTTTTATCTGGAGTTTCATTACTTTCCATATTTCTCAAGGAATATTCCCTTTAAAAGCATAGAAACATAATTATTATTATTGTTTGGACAATAAATCAGTTGGAAACTTTACCTCCAAAGTTTTGATAAATAAATTAACCTCAAAATTCAAATTATGTTTAGTCAAAATAAACTTAAACTTGAACAGAAAGAATCTCGACTTGATTGAAAGATGAAAACAATGATTCAAAACTTTGTCTTATAAACCTAAAAACCAACTCTAGAGTCAAGTTTAGACCAATGAGCTCAAGATCAATTTCTAGATTTTAAGGCGCATATTTCAAAACGCCACTGACAAAGCCTTTAATTTTGTAAAAAAACCAGTATATTAAGTAAATTTATCTATTAATCTTGCTACGAATTTTCATTGCTATTCAATCCGGTGCTTATTTTTTTATTTCCGTCTTTTTCGTCGCTCACAATTCGCTCACAATTCACTCACAATTTCCTTCTTATTTTTTATCTAATTTCAGGGTTCTCCGGTGAAAGATTTGTCAAAAGTTAAATCATCATCTAAAAAGGAAATTAGCCGTGGGTTAGTGAAAAGTAAGGATATGATACGATTACTCCTCCTCCAGCTAGACGCAATTTGCAACTCGGTTTCAGGTACGGTTCGATGTCCATAGACCTTATTGTACCTATCTTATTTCCAGTGTAAAGTTGTCGATATTTCGATTCACCGTGTTTAATGATTTCTATTCGTCGATTCAAAAAATCTCGGCCATTGATATTTTTACAATACGAATAAGTGCATTGATCGTCATCAAAACTTGAACGATGGTACAACCATAAATTCACACGAAATGGAGGCTCTCTATCCTGGAAATTGATAGAAACTGCATAACAATCACCATCAGTGAAACGTTTCAAATAATCCAATTCAGCATATTCTGATGGGTCTTGTCTTTTTTTATTAAAAACATGGAAAAATTCATGATACGGATCCTGATACTCGTTCACACAACAATGAATCCTATTAAATGGTATTCCTGTTATCGATGCAAGCTGTTGAAGATATAGTCAGAAAATATTTAAAGTTAAAAGGTTAGTCCAAGGAATGAATATGAATTATGAAATAATTAATTTAAATCATGAAATATGGTGTTGAAAAATTCCACATATTCTTGGACCTTATTTGAGCCTTATTCATTGCTCAAAGATAGAAATGGACTGTTAAGAATGTTTCTGAAACTTATTCTTCATGCCTAGTTAAAAACATTATGTTAACCCCTAATACTTAATAGACTCAATCAACACAATTATCAAATTTATGCACAGATTCATCAAAGATTTCTCTATTGAACAGTTTTCGAGAAAATCAGTCAAACCGATCGCTTTTTATGACCATGAGAGTTAACGAACTGAAAATTATTATGCGTCCATGAAAATGGTGGATCTCATCATGAATTGAATGATTTTATCAATTCAACATTTGGTCCCTGACCTCGAAACTTTGAGTCACGATATTTCGAGATTGTTTATTTTTGGAAGCATAATACAATCATAATTATTTCACCAAACATTAGGTTTCATTATGGAATTTAACAGTATCTGACTGAATGCTGAATAAAATCATAACTAATTCATTCAATAATGAAGATCCTTAAGACGCATAAGTTTTGTGTTTAGTAAATCAAGTTGCAAAGCTGACCACATAAGTAATCCATGCTATAACTTTTTTTTCTATGATCTTGAATGATATATATAATATTATAGCCCATAGTGAAATTTAATATTTGACCACGAATGATGATACCGTTACCGAAATACTGAGGCCAAAGCTTTTAGCTCAATGGCCAGAATAAGAGAACTGTTGATGAATTGAAAGAAAAGTTCGGTTAGTGATGTTACCAACAATTTTTACGGACGAATAATAAATTGGACAAATTAGTGAAATCATTTTATAATGAGCTTTCTTTTTTGTGCAAAATTGTTCATTCTTTATCATGAGTATAATTAAGTGAATAAAGTCATTTGAAATAATTAGCCGTGAGTTCGTGGATAGTAAGGATGACGGGGCCTATCATAGACTCGAGATGAGCAGATTGGGTCCATGTACGGCTGGATGCCCATAGACCTTATCGTACTTCTTGCATCTCCATCCCAAAACTCTCCAAATTTTGGTTCACCATATTTAATGATTTCTACTTGTCGATTCAAAAAATCTCGGCCATTGATATGTGGGCAATACCAAGCTGTACATTGACTGTCATCGAAATTTGAACGATTGTACAAAAATAAATTTACGTGAAATGGAGGCTCATGATTATCGAAAGTCATTTCAAGTGCATAGCAATCACCATTATTTAAAATTTTCAGACGATTAAAGTCATAATATCCATGTACGTCATTTGGAGTATTTCTTTTATTGAAAAAAAATTCCAAACCATCAAAATCAGGATAGCAATACATCACAAGCCTGTTCATTTTATAAATTGGTATTCCTATTATAGATGCAAGCTGTTGAAGGTATAATCAGAAAATATTTACGTTATCTTTAGTCAAATGTGAAAGTCAAAATGAAATGAACATACTTGTCGAAATATTTGTCGACCTACATCTTCCCTGTCTGACCAATCTATCAACAGATCATGATAATCTTCACCACCAACCTTTATTTTGATAGAAACTATTATAATTTATAAATTACATTGAATTAATCATCACTTTACAAATGAAAAACATTATCAATAAATAGATGTTAATAAACTTACTTTTATCTGGAGTTTCAATACTTTCCATTTTTAAATCGGAAACTTCAGCTTCAAAGTGTTGATGAATAATGAACCAAGATTCAAAAATTTGACTTCAAAACATAAAAAACAGTCTGAAAATAAGTTTAGGCCAATGAGTTGCAAATCCTTCCCTGGATTTTGAAGCGCTAATTTTGAAATGCCCCTCGCAATGTTTTCAACTTCGTCGTATGTAAGAAATATATTTTATAGATATAAGATTCTTAAGGTATTTATCATTTTATCCATCCAAGTTTCATGTTATTAGTTTCATTGAAAGATGATTACTCAAAATTTATTAAGATAGTTTTTTATTCGATGCCTACTAATGGTGCAATCTCTCTTATACAGCCTTTCGCGATGAGCCCAGAAGAGTTTTCACTGCCTTTTAGAAGCATTTCAAACACTGTCAGTAGATATGAATAAATCTTATTGCTATGAAAGTAAATTTTGATTTATCAATCACTGGGGTCGTTACATCGATTTAATCGATCAAAAGGTTAAAATTTAGTTTTAATAGTTAACTAGTAATTACAAATGAAGAGGTTTTAAAATAACGCTGACTTTGAATTCAGCCTTAAAATATATTTTATAAATAGAGTTGGACGGTTTCTTTGAATTACTTGAGTTTCCAAAAGTGTATAAACACGAGTCCAGAATAAAATCTATTAAGAGTTACAAGTAGTTGAGGAAGATGTCGAGCTGATATTGAATTTTGATTTGTCAAATTAGTTGCCATATTTGTTATTTCCAGGATCCATAAACTAAAATTGGATAAAATCAAATAGGCGAAAACGTCTCTAGATCGATGAATCTTGCGACCATCAGAGCGAAGTAAAAAAGTTTGAAGAGTAATTTGAATTATTAAAGCTCCATGGTTCATCATCTTGTAAGATGTCAATGTGTTTTCCAATCCACTTGTAACAATATCATATATTGCTAAAGTATAAGCACCAGCAACAGTAATAATTGACATGATGTGGTTATCATTTGGATCCAAACAAGGATCGGCAATTTTGTGGAGTCCCTTCCGTTTACGACCTCTCAATACGAGTCCAATCAAAGCAGCAGCTGCTGATAAACCCTGAAATATGAAAATGTTTCAATTGTTATTCAAACTGAAATTGTTAAGTGAATATTTGTCAATTTCAATTTACCTGAATAGATGTATGAGTGATGAGAGTAATCTCTGGATTACCAAGCAACAAGACAATTAAAGCAGTTGAAATAATTAAAATACCCATAAAGAAGCCTTTAATTGAACTTGGTTTCTTGGCAAAACTGAATGAAGCGTTATCATCGAGATCTGAAAGTCTCGGTTTAAGGCTGTTGTAATGACACCGATTATTTTGAATCCACATGTAACCTAAAATGAATGCCGTTAATAGTTGATAATTGTGAATAATGGGTAAAAGTAGATCGGAAAATGATGCTGGAAATATGTTAGGCCTGGAGGATATTAATGATGGTGACGATGTATCTGATCGAGGTGATAATCGAGCTTGACGATGGCTACATGTACCATAGTTAGGATCAAAATTAACTAACCAAAGTGACATTTGACAAGCAAAAAGATGAGCAACAGCAATATTCTTGAGACTGTATTTAGGTCCACGTTGAGCTCGAGTAAATATGAAATGCATTAATAAAAAAACAAACAGAAATTGAAGAATTGGTATGAAAATGAATTGGTCGTTAAGACATTGAGCCAAATTAAGTCCAATAGCAATCAACTGTACCAAACCAAGAGCTATGGAACCAAACAGTATTGATGTGTTTTCTGGTCAACCACAAATGAAAAAAAGAGAAGCAAATTAATAAAGTTTATAATAGTAATTTTTTGCTAATGACTTTTGCTTCGATTTTCGGTGTCCTAAAACATTTAATAATAATTACCGGGATGACCCTCACCAGGTCCATAATAGTCTTTAGTTGTCCAACAACGAATTAAAATGATGAACAAAATTGAGGTTCCTAACAGGTAGCCATGATAGTAATATACGGTTAAAGTGAACCAGTGTCGGTTTGGTATGGATGTGCCTATGAGGTGAATAAACATCATTAGATATGCAAAGTTCCTTCAGTCGAATTGAATTACCTGAAATACGAAGAAGGGTTATGGTACAAGCAAGATGAAAGATAGAATATAGTTGAGAGAAGAAAATGTTCTTTGGCCTTTTCTTATAAACTCTACATCGATTCCAGAAATCATCGCGAACATCAATTCCAGGTAATTGAGTTGTCTTGCTAATTTCATTAAAGGTTTCTTGAGGTGATGACCGGCGAGTAACATTTGTGCTTGAGATTGGATATTTAAAGGTGTGATTCGGTGTGACTTGTATTGTCGTTGCTCCGGTCATCTTGTTATTGGTATTGGAACCGGGTCGAGTTGAAGATCGACCCGATGATATTGAAGATGAAGCATCTTTATTGTCTAATATGGATGAATTGAAATAACCCGATGTTCCTGGAAGTGAGGATATAACACAACTTGAAGTCCCTTCAACCTGGTTAGCTGTATAATTGTATAATTTTTTGCCAAACTGCCAAGTGAAAATGAATGAAAATGTTATTAATTGTTAATTGTTTACCAGTTGATCAAAAATTTGATAATCATTAAGAAAAGGAAAATATGTCAAAAAAAACAAGTGAATAGTTTAACCTTGATTATTGGGCACAACAGACGAGAAAAAAGATCATCACCGTTAAATGCGCCTAATCAAGTTGATCAATGGATTGAGATGATAACAATACAACGAACAGCTCGTTGTGTGTTGAACATGTTGCTGGTGATGATACAGGTAGCTATTAAGCATAAACAACAATATATTTGGTTGATTGACTGTCAATATTTAAGAGTGAAGTTATCAGGAGGGAAACACACACAAAAAACAAACACATAAATGTAAACAGATGATTTACTGAATAAAGATCACTTTCAAGACCTAATCAGTTGATTGTTTTTTTGGTTTACTTTTATACATTTAACCTCGAAAGTGTATTGTTACATAAAACAAGGGAAACTGATCCGATTGTTCATTTAATTGATCCAATTTGATGATTGATTGAATTTGAGAGCCTTAAAACAGATCCATCATCACTTAAGCCTTAACGACTTCCAAGCACTCGCGAGCAAAAAAACACATAAAAAGTATCAAATGTATCAATAATTTCACTATTGTTAAAGCTCATCATTGAAAGAAACAATTAATTTAATTAAGCACAAAAATTCAAGAAACTCATGGAAAAATAAAAAATGAACTCAACTAAACCTTTCAATAAAAGGTCTTCTGATGCTCTACAAGCTTGACCTATTGATTTAATTTGAATTTTCAAGTGTCAGTGATACATTATGGTGAACTTGAAGGATACCAGAATGGGTATTGAGAGTTGTTAAAGGTTAATTGATTAAAGCTGAGGGTTGATTGATTGTAAGTTTCAAATTTATGTGTGACTTTATTGTAAATCAGTGAATGTCAGTCAATTTAGTGGAGGTTGATGAGATGAATTAATTGATTCTCGCAACAATTTGGTTTTCTGTGTCTTTTAAGTTTAAAATTTGAGCAAACCTTACAAAATATCAACTTGATAACATATTAGGAAGAAGAAGCTTCCGTAATTTTTATGAATGGTTCAATGGTTGTTAAATCTTGGTTAAATGGATGTTTAATCTTGATAACTTGAAACCTGTAAAACCCTAAGGCTGATTATTCAGTTGACTTAACACTGTCTAATCATTTCCATGCAAAAACAATTTACATGTATTCATCATCTAAACAATCATAATCATCTCTACCATGATATATCCAAGTAAAAAATACAGTTAATATTTGCTTCCCTCTTATTATTGTAATTATTTGGGTAAAATGGGAGATAAAGTTGACAAACAAAAAATCTACTTTTTCCAACCAATATTGTAAAATAAACAAGGAACCACCAATTTTTGGCAATCCTTTCCGCCCCTTGTGACCCAATCAAGGTTTACACAAGCATATAATCATCATAACAATTAAAACTAACAAGCAACTGTTCCACAAGGCCAAGAGATTCAGCATATTGCTAAAAGTATCTATCTATCGTAAGAATGGCTCATAATAAGATTCATAATACATCTGATTCTGACTAAATACTTGACAAAATGGGAAGCAAAATTGGATTGAAATTTACAATTTTTTCTAGAAAAATATTGAAAAATGAAGCTAATTTCAAAAATTGCCTAACATCCAAGTCTAATAAGATATGACGGGTGAAGTTTTGGAAAATCATTCAAAAATAAAGCTTGACTGGACTTATAAGCACCATTTTATCGTTGAAATAAAGGTTCAATTTTCAAAGATAAGGCAATCTTGATGAAAAATTGTAAAAGTATGATCATGAATAGATAAAGCGACAAAATTTGATTTCGTCTTTGGTCAGTGAAAAATCAATCTCGAATGAGTCTTTGAGATGGACCAAAGCCTTTCGATTGACCTTTGTTGAGGTAAATATTATATTTTTCTGACAATTTTGAGGCCACTTCTAGCCTTTTTTGCAATTCTTTAAAACTCTGAAATAAAGGCAAATTACTATTTGCACTGACCATAGAAGCAATCAGATTTTGACCTTTTTGATTTTGATTTTCACTTGTCTATTTAGTCTTTAAAATTGAATTTACTCACTTTACTTTGGTCGATTATTTTTCCATCACTTATTTTAACTACAGTTGCTTTTGGATTAAACCGATTCTCTGAAATTGAACTCATTAGAATGGACAGTTTATATGTTCACAAATGATATTGAAAATAGGTTAAACAGATGACCAGAATAAGGTTTTGATAATAGTCAAGTTAAGTCCAGGCTAAATGGTATTTTTTAAAGGGAAACACTGAATAGTTTAAACATGATGAACATTGTGGATATCAGTGAGGTTGAAGTGAACACTTAAACGGCTAAAGGTAAAAATGAGCCTGAAAATCAGTGAGCCTGATGAAGATGAGCAAAGGTGGGTTAATTTTTTGTTTGTCACCAAAAAAACGGTTGTTTAAAGAGTTAAAGGTTCCTTAAATACGAAGTCAACTGTGAAGTAAAAACATAAATAATTGTTGAACGTGATCAAAAATTATCTCAAAGAGGTTGTAAGTTTATGATGAATAATTTAACGCTCAGCCATTTGATGGCGAAAAGGTGAACAAAAAATTGACTCGATTATCAAGAGTTTCGAGATGAGAGAAGTTAATTTTTACAATTACAATTAGATTGCAAAATGAAACATTTTTTTTCATTATCTGTTCTTTATTTTAAGGGCGACAATCAGTTGATTCAATCATCGGATTATCAAAAAAAATATAAGTTACAAGTTGTAATGGATAGCCTTTATCGATATGACTGTTAACATGTAAATTGTATCATTTAATGTTGAACCTAAAAATGTAGTTGAACAATTAAAGATTAGGTTGAAGCTCAAGAACAATTATTAAATCAAATTGATCACAATTGGCTTATCTAGAGCTGTAATACATTTTGGTTGTGTGAAAAGAAAACTAAAACAAGACTCAAAAAGAGTACAAATGATGGTGAAAATGCTTTGAAAATAACAAATTTGAAGATTGAAATGGTTTGCTCAGTTCAGCTTAGATTGATGAATTATCGTATTTGAGTGGTTGAAGATTAAATCTTATGCTTGGTGAGTTGAGTGAGTTTGGTGAATGGACGTTTCTATAATTGTGTTTGTTCAATTTCCTCTGCTTTCGATTGTAGCAGCATTTTAAAATGGTCAAAATGATTATGAAGAGTAAAACTGTAGTGATTGATATCAATATGATTGCCCAGGTCGGCAGTCGACAATCATCAATGTCATCATACCGATGGTGACAGTTGAATATGGATATGATGTGCCTCTTAGCTGCAGCATAACCATCAGTTGATCGGTATTTAAGCTCTTCGTAGCGACCGCATTCGGATTTAATTAGGTTAAGCATACAATATTCATAGTCAAGGATGAAACAGCAAGCCAATTTGTCTTGGTCTGTCTTGGTTCGCCATCGGTCAAGAGCTCCATAATAACACTCGGCATACTCACTACGTTGTAACATCTTCGATATACAAGTTGCAGGTAATTCAATCCGAAATTTGTTTATATAATGGTAAAAATCATCAATTAAATTTTCATCAATCACTTGCGACCAACTATAAAAGTCAATTTGTTGACTTGATCCAAGGTAAACTTGCAATGAAATAAGTATTAAAACTATTACTTTCATTTCTGGTAAACAATTTAATTTTAATTTGTAGCAGATGTAAACAGCACAATTTTCAAAAATGAGTTAACAGTTGTTTCAAGATTATCCCATAGTTAAGGTGATTATCTTGATTCTTTCATAGGTAAATCAAACAATGCGGAAGGCGCGCTGGATAAAAATTGGATGATTGGTATCCATGGGAGCAAATGCATCTTTACGATACAATTAGATATAATCAAACTAATCAAAAATCCTTCAATGTAGTTTTCTGGAGATTATCAGGATCAGCTGAAATTGGACGATGGATTCAAGAGTTTTTTTCTTGATAAACTTTTGTTTTCCACCACCTCTCCGATTTCGGATTGGAATGATTCAAGTATTTGCTCCTCGGCCTTTTTCAATGTTTCCACCTGACTCTTCCTTTAATGATTCCAATGTATCCTTCTTACACGATTTCAACATTTTGGCAACAACATTTGCATCCTCCGAATTATAATTGTACTCTCTTTTGGGGATAGCATCCAGTATCCGTGTCTCCAACTCTGGATCTTTAAGCAAAGTAGAATACTTTGGTGTCAAAAGCGGCATGGTCTCAGCAATAAAGTTTTCTTTGAGCTCGTCATAATTAGTTGAGTCGAAAGATTTTTGACCATTGGAAACTCTCATTAAGGAATCAAATTTTTTCCTCAAAATGTCTTCCACCTTTTTGATGACTATAATTTGAATTACTGAATTGTTGAATTTAATTTCCTTCGCCGCGTTTGGCTTGAAGTTCTTTAAGAGCACTACTTAGAAATGCAAGATGACCTTTAGGGCATTTATTAGCATAATGACCTTTTTCTCCACACTTGAAGCATGTTACTTGATCAAGAGGCCTATGAATCCTTTCTTTGGATTGAGCTCCCTGGGGATCCGATGAATTAGAGTTGGAGTTATCTGTTCCGTTTTTAGTTGCATTAGGAACCGGTGGTCCTTGATTTTGATGAGGAGGGTGATTATTATGTGATTGATTATGAATCGGATTATGATGCGAATTGTGATGACTATTGTGATGTGTATTATGAGGAGCATGATGTGGATGTTGAATAGGTTGTTGGCCGGAGTGTTGCTGCTCAAGCTGAGCAAGTTTACTTTGTATTGCTTCTTCTCTTGCTTCAGGAGGCATCTTGGGACAATTATAAATTTTATGGCCTAATTCATTGCAATAATGACAAATGACAGTTCCTTTCTTTGCTTGAACATTTGGATCGTTGATAGGTAAATCAAATCTAGGATGAACAAATTTACATTCTGGACCGAGAGGACAAAAACCAGCAAGGTAACACAAACATATTACACGTCTAGTATGTCTATGGCGACAATTGGGTCCATGCCGGCAGAAACCACGATCATACCACGGACAATCTTTGATTTTAGATTCCGGATCAATGTGTAGAAAAGGGCATTCCTTGTTAGAACATGCATGGAAACGGGAATAAAAATAGCATTCCGGCATTTTAGTTAAATCATATTCATGAAGAAATTCACATTGATCTCCTTTTTTACATAGACCACGAAGCCAGTGTTTACAAACTATACTACGATCTCCTTTGATATGTCTGAATGGACAATTTGCACCTCGATGACAGTTACCACGAAGATGAAAAACACAGACCGCTGCACCAGATTTGTCCATTCCCGGGAAAGGTAGATTGAGAGCACCGATTTGTTCAGCCAAGGCGATTTCAACGTCGAATTCGACATCGTTCACGGATGCCAATAATTCTTCCATGGTGGTTGACTTTGCTAGAACACTTTATCGGAAAATAATAACAAAATTAACAACGATTTTTGATGAATAAGCTAAAGTATGAAACTAAATGGGATCTATCATCTGTTGATAAGCCGCAAACCACTTCTTTATTTTAAATAGCTTATAGATGGAGCTACTTGTTAAATTAGTAAAACTGTTCAACATGTGCGTACAATGAAGGCGCATCAGTATTTTGGCGGTTTTGTATGAATTGTTATCAATTGTTTATTTTCATATTTACTTTTAGTTTTAAATATCAATATTTTTTAAACAGTGTTCAATTTTATCAACATGTCATCATCTAATCTTAGTGACGCTCTATTAGAAGATCCTGATCGCAGTGTAAAAGCCTGCTTAATGGATTTTCAAATCATAATCATCAAAAAGGTGGAAGACATTTTGAAGAAAAAATTTGATTCCCTTATGAGAGTTTTCAATGGTCAAAAATCTTTCGACTCAACTAAATATGACGAGCTCAAAGAAAAATTTATTGCTGATACGATGCCGCTTTTGACACCAAAGTATTCTACTTTGCTTAAAGATCCAGAGTTGGAGACACGGATACTGGATGCTATCCCCAAAAGAGAGTACAATTATAGTTCGGAGGATGCAAATGTTGTTGCCAAAATGTTGAAACCGTGTAAGAAGGATGCATTGGAGTCATTAAAAGGAATTAAGAGTCAGGTGGAAACATTGAAAAAGGCCGAGGAGCAAATACTTGTTTCATTCCAATCTGAAATCGGAGAGGTGGTGGAAAAACAAAAATTTATCAAGAAAAAAACTCTTGAATCCATCGTCCCAATGTCAACTGTATCTTATCATAATTGCCAGAAAACCACATTGAAAGATTTTTGATAATTCCGAATTATTTGTTCATCTTTATTGTACTAAAATTTTGAACCGATAAATATTCCAGCCAGTTGAACAGAATTGTTTTCAAAATTTTTATTTGTATCAGATGCGATTTGGAAATAAAGAAAGGCAATTTACACTTAAAATTAAATTCATTCAAAAAATCATTTTATCCAGTCGACATCAACCTCGTCGGTGCGGAATCTTTGAGTAACAGTTGTCTGAGAGATTGATGTCAAATGACCAGATTGGAACATCAAAGTACCGGCTTGAGCAATCATTGCCCCATTATCAATGCAATATCTTTCGTCGGTGGCATAGAGAATTGCTCCTCGCTCTTCGGCCATTTTTGACATCATCATTTGTAACCTTTCATTGCAACCAACTCCTCCTACAATCAAAACTTCTTTTGAGTTTGTGTTGGACATGGCTCGTTCTGTAGTTTCGACCAACATCGCAAAAATGGTTTCTTGGAGCGAAAAACATAAATCTTCCGGAGTATATTCACCAGTTTTCAGCCAATTTGCCGTTCGGTCCTGAAACACGTACAGAATGAAAGATTACATCAACAAATCATTGCTTGAAAATTGAATTATACCCAATTTACCTCTATGAAGTCCTGAAAATGAAACGTCCATTCCTTTGACAACATATGGAAGTGAGGCCAACTTTTTACCCTTTTTTGCCATTTGTTCGTTTGTTCGATATTGTACCCGGGACTAGGATCATTTGATAACTGTAATCAAAAACATGACAATTTATGGCCAAATAAACAAAATATCAATACTAAATAATAAACTTGCCTTCAACACTCTTGCAAATCTGTCCAAACAATTTCCAACTGCAATGTCGATTGTTTCGCCAAAGATGCGATACCTGCCAGCTGAATAAGCAATGATTTGTGTATTTCCTCCGCTAACATAAAGCACTATAGGATTTCTGGCACCTGTGACTAACTTTCCCATTTCAATGTCTGTAAATAAGACAAGATTTTAAGTAAATGTGTGAAAAATATAACCATAGTGGCCTTACGAGCGATACAGTGGTTGACGGCGACAACGGGTTTATTCCAAAGCTGAGCTAAAGTTCTAACAACAATTGCTACTGATTGCAATGGAGCACCCATTCCAGGTCCTTTTGTATAACATAGAACATCTATTTCATCAACTGTACAACCACTTTCCTTGAGACATTTGTCAATTAATTCGTGTATCACATTTTGATGATGCTTAGCAGTATCTCGAGGCAGAAAACCTGTTTATTGGCAAAAAAAATAACAAACAATAAGACAGCTTCAATGAAATAGTTGGATATTACCTCGCATGCAAATATAATCAAAAAAGTCAAAAAATACTCAAAAGTTGATGTCATCAAGCAAATTTACTTGGATTACTAAGGAACGATGATTTCATTGGACTCTCTACACTTTTTGACTAACAAAAATTGGTGGCAAAAAATTCTTACCGTGACCAGGAGGAGTGATATAAGTTGATCTGGGATTAGCTAAAACCTGACCATCTTTGATAATACCGATTCCTAGTTTATTAGCACTTCCCTCAAATCCCATAGCAATAACCATTTTGAAATAAAAAGTTTACTACACTTAAAAATACAAAATTAAAGAGCCAAAATGTGACCAGACGTGATGTTTACTGAAAATGATGCAAGTGAGCAAGTCTTACTTAGAAGAAGCGCTAAATTTGAAAGAAACATAATTTGAAACAATTTTTTCGCGAAGTGAACATTAATTAATAAGCGACAGGTGTTTTAGCTGAGAATCCATTTCATTTTTATTAAATTTCCTAAATTTTGCCATAAAATTTATCAAAAAAGAAGGAAGCAATTAACCATTAAAGATCCTATTTGTTTTGTATTTGTAAAGAGAAGAGATGAAACAATGTTTTTCTTATTTTTTTGTCAATAAAATGTTATTTTATCATATTTTTTTTTGCAAAGAAAAGCTTGAAAGCGCCGATTGAGACGAGAGAGAGAGAGAGAGAGAGAGAGAGAGAGAGAGGACGATGAAGATGATGATAAAGATGATAATGATGAAAATAAGAGTAATGAAAAAAGTAAATAGATATCGAAGGATTTGTATTCATATTTTGTCTTGAAAATGTCTTGTCCGACAAAATAGTGATGATGATGGCGAGGAGAAAGAGAAAGATAATAGATTGGCTGGAGAGAGAGAAGAAGACAAGAAGATGAGAAAAGAAAGTAAATAGCTGTTGATTGCTAGTTAATAAACAAATCTTTTGATACAATTTAACTTATTTATATATTTGTTTGTCAAAGGAAAAGTCTGTGATTAGATGAAATTACTATTTTACTCCGTCTATTCGGTTTAATCATTTTATTAATCTGTCTCTTACCTTCATCATCATTTCTTACTTATTCAATGCTCTCTAACTCTTTCTCTCGCTGACAATCTGATTAAAATGATAGTAATGCTAGTAATAATAATGATAATATAGTGAAATCAGGTTAACCAATATAATGAAACTGTTGTGTTGATGTCCTGAGATGCACATTGAATTGAAAGAGTTAACAAAATGGTTGGTAACGTCTTCTTGGTGAGCAAATGTCCAAAAATACAGTTAATTGTCGCTTGATAGAATCAACTACCATTTGATGATGTTGCGTTGATTAAACAAATTAAGGATGATTGCGTATAATCAGATTGAAACAAAAAAATCTGTAACATTAAATTAAGCAAAAAGGGTAACCATTGCACAATTAATAACAATTGAATCAGGGACTGTTCATAATGGTTATCATGGTTAATAATTATAATATCATGTTACATATTGATCCTACAAGGGAGTTAATTTTTGTTCAAGTGCTGAAGCTTGAATCATTGAGAGGAGAAAGGCAAAAATTTGCTGGAAGGGTTTTCCTGTCAATCAACAATCAAGCCAGTAATTTAAATATATGAGAAAAATGAAACAAAAATTTAAACAGCAATTTAATGTTTCTATCAATTAACAACCAGCTTTTCTCTTTCTCTTTCTCAGGATAAATGATATTTAAAATGTTTATCATGAATTTACTGATGAGCTGATTTTGATATATTATTACCAAAAATTAATGTTTCAAATGTGTAAGAAAGAGTTACGAATTAAATTTTGAAGAGTTTTGTCTTATTTTTTTCAGTGCATTTATTCATGTTAAAGGCACCTTTTTTTTGAAAAAAATGGAGAAAAATGATAATTAATATTATTCAGTTATTAGCAGGCGTAATCAGGTTCAAAATTTAATCAATAAATTCATCTTTTCCTGATTAAAGTATACGTAATAATATACCAATCAACCATCTTCAAATCAAGTTAAACATTCAACTATCTTGAGCAAATCGGTAATCGTCATTGTTGAGCTGGTTCAGTCATCTTCAACATTTCAATGAGACAATAATATCGTTCCATTATCGCACTAGCTACTGATCGCCAAATTACCAGATTGAAAAAAAATCAATTGGTTCTTGAGAGATCTTTAAGTAATATTGTTTTACCAAAGATTCGGTGTATTCTGATCTTGGTGAATCAATTCTTTCTCGCATTTTTTTCTCCTCTTTTCCAATTTTCCTTCTTCTTGGTTTAGTTTATTTGAAGAGTTATCGTTATGTGGTTGTGTGTGTTTAATTGTTTTCTTGTTTATGGTGAAAGTAAGTTTTCAGGTGAGTGAGTGAAATGTGATCTTTTGCTTGTTCTTTATGTATTTTTGTATATTATTTAATCTTTATAATTATTGTTGTCATTCTGTGGTTTATGTTGTTGATGTTTCTTTCATGTCAGACTTGTAGATGAAATGTTTCCCTTTGCTTGATTACAAAAGTCGTAGTAGCTCTTTTTTGAGTTTTCATCTTCCACATTCACTTTAGGTCTTCGTTGAGCAATGCTTATTGGCACCGAAATGTTAAAATACAAAAAAAAAGATAATGTTATTGGTGGTTGTGGTAATAGTGATGATGATGCTTGCGATGTTGACGATGATGAGTTAAACAGGTGATCAAGAGCGACAGAGTGTTAGTTATACTTCGACAGAGAGAGTAGCAAAATTGTTTGCGTTATACTTCGACAGAGAGGTGAAGAAAGAGAGGTAAGAGGAGAGAGTAGCAAAAATTGTTTGCCATTAAATTTAAATAGAGGTATAAGGAGAGACAGTTTGAGAGATGCTTGAGAATGATGATAGGAATCAAAGAAAAAGAGATTCAAAGCATGTTAGCACATAAGGAAAAGAGGTTACTGTTGTTGGTTTTTACACATTTCAATAATATCCGCAAATCAATCACTAATATAATTCATGTTGACTATAATCAGCTGCTGGGTAACAACAAAAAGGTGAAATTAAATGATAAAAAAGTTGATCGAAGTGGAGAGGAAAAGAAGTTATTAACAAATGGTTCCTTTTCATCTCCTCGACATTTTGAGCGCTATTAAATCGTTGAAATGTAAAGGCATTAACATGTCTTATGCGTCTCGCTTCATCTAACTTTTTCATCTTTCAGATTTTCTTTTCATTTTGTATTTTATTCTTGCTTCATGTTTATATATATATATATTTATTTATTTATACATTTATTATTTTGTGTGTCAGGATAACATGGAGAGAGAGAGGCAATGTAAAGGTGAAGAGGCAAAAGCTAAGAAATTGATCGAGTTTTACTGTACAAGAAGGAATTATCTTTCGCTGAAAATGTCCCTCAAGACTTGTTGCCCTTTTCATTTTCCTGAGGAAACATTAACCAATCTCTCTATCCTTTTCACACCACTTTCCCCATGATCACCATGATCACCATGATCATCATCGTCTTCTTATCACCTTTATTTTCCATCCTTATTCTTATATTCATCTTGAATCTCACTACTTTTTTTTGCTGCTTAATGATTGCTTTGTTTACACTGTTTGCTAGTTGAAATAATATTACAGTATCAATTGCAGTTGGGAAAGATAACGGATGCAAAGATGCATGGAAAGGATGAGGAAGGCAGAGAGAAATAAGAAAGAATGAAATGTAAAGAAGATAAAGAAAAAAAAAGTGGAGCAAAGAGAAGAAGAGAAAGAAAAGTTCTGTCAACGATATAACTCAGATCAATAAGTCTTTGAATCTAACTGCAATTTTTTGATCTTTCCCTGCGTTTTAGATACAAAAGAACCAGAGAAGATGGAGACTAAGGAGAATAAAAAAGATTCCAATGAGCATTGGGATGTAACCATATATATATATATATAAATATAAAACATCAACAGTAACAGCAAAATCCATTGATAAAAGTTCTTGCTTGCATCCCTTTTCCCCTTCTTGTATTGCTCTTTCGATCCTAAGTTATTTCTTGTCTTCGTTTTTCATCCTTTTTACCATCTTTAGCCTCATTTTTCTCCCTCTTTCTTTATCTGGTATTGTTGTTGGTTCCATACAATCCAAATGCAATCGCAAAAATCTCGTCTGACCAAATAGCTATTTCATTCTGAATTTCTTTTCCTTCTTCTTCTTCTTTTCCCATTTGTTTTTCTTTAGTTTTTTCCCTGTGACTTGGAGGGTTTTTTTGCTTGTCCTCCCTATTTGTGTGTAATACAAAGCTAATCTTGATGTGTAGTTATTATTGTTATCGTGTTCTTGTTGTCGTTTATGTTGATGGTGATGATGATCATGATGTGATGCTGGTAATGGTGAAGAGTAACTCAAAAACAAGAAGAGGAAGATAAAAAAGAGGATGAAAAGCAATGGAGAAGAGAATATCTATTAGTTATCATCTAGTAGCTATAATATATAATATTAAATAATAATAGCAAAAAGAGAAAGAAGTATATCGTCAATCAATAAAATCAACAATCAACACTGATCAAAGTGTCCAGACAACTGTACATGATTCTTACATGCTTCTCAATAAACTAAACCACAAATGAATCATATAATTATTAATATATATATATATAAACTTTGCTATTCAGAGAATGATTCTGATGATAAAGAGATGAAAAAAAAGGATAAGAAGATAGAGTGAGAGAGAGATTGAGGGAATGAGATGAGTATGTTTAACCACATATGTATGGATATAAATATATCCATCCAATTTCCGATTCTCCTTGTAACTGGGCAGTTTATTTTTGGTAAGAAAGAGGAACCTAATAAGGATAAGGTTGAAAGGGAAATTGGAAAGGAAAGGGATGAAAGAAAGGTGTTTATTAAAAGAGGAAAGATAGACCAAAATTGAGAAAGAGGCAGGAAGTTGCAAATGTTGCAAACACAATTTTCGTTCCAAAAAACGCAAGTTATTCAGCCTTTTGTGTTGTATAATGAGTTATATAATAAATTGTCCATCCGATTATTTCTTGCTTTTTTTACTTCTTTCACTATTTTTTGTTTCTGACCAGTCGAGAAATAAAAACAACTTTCAATATTACACTTGAAATGAGAAGATGTTGAATCAGCAATCCAGTCTTTGGGTTATTTGTTGGTTTTCTGGTGGCTCCTGTTGATGATTTGTTAAATTTGTTGTTGACGAAGTTAACAAAAAAAATGTTTTCCCTTTTCTGGTTTAGAGTAAAAATGTTCTTGTTTAAGTTTCTTCCTCTGAAATTTGATTGAATTCACATGTATAATAATGTTATCCCAATGGAAGAAGCGGAATTGTCGAAGAATAATAACAATTACAATTTCAATTATTAATCAATAATAATAAATGACCAAGAGATGTGAAGATAACCAATCCTCAGCGTAGTAAGGAAAAGAGTGAAATTTGAAGGTGAAAAAACAAGAGTTGAAAATTTCTTTATCATCCTGATCCTCATCATCAAAAATCATAATCAATCGGTTTAAAAGTTTTTTCTTCAATATTTCTGATCATTTTGATCGGTATTTAAATTATTTATGTATTTAGGTAAAACCGGTTGTCAGCGTAACACAATAACATCAGGAGCTGATCGAGTTTCAATAAAACTTCTAGGTCGATTGGCAGTGTGATCACTTGATGAGCTCATTTCAATAACAGCTTCCGCCCTAAATCGGCCATGACGACTTGAAGATGAAGGCACTTTATCATCAGATTCATCTTCCGTATCCTCACCGTGAGATCCACCACCACCGCCATCAAGGTTGGCATGGTGATGATGGTGTGGAGGACCCACAGAGGCGGATCTGTAATCTCCAGGATTTGGAGCTCGATGATGTGAAGATGAAAGAGAAAGAGAATCATGATGATGACTCGGAAAACCGGGATGCTGAGCGCAATCAGGATGATGTTGAGTGGGGTGTGAAGGTGGAGGAGGATGTGAATGGTGAGCAAGATGATGATGGTGATGATGATTGTCCAAGGATACAATGGAAGATGATACACCAAGACCATGAGGAGGTGGCGGAGGTGGCGGAGAAGGTGTATCTAATTTACTTGCATCCAAGGGAAGGGTTGTCGTTGACCGAGTATTTCGTGATCGAAGGTGAGATAAAGCTGGAGGCGGAGGGGGCGGTGGAATGGGCGACTCACTGCCACTTCTAAGACCCGTGTCTGAATCTTGATGATAATAGGGACAATCGTTGGATAACACAGGATAACGGATAACATTTTCGGGTGGATATTTCTCTAAACCCCCGTGTAAACCATCTTCACCTCCACTCCCTAAATCATCAATTAATGATCCAGGATGATGATCACCACCACCTGTTTTTCGATAATAACCACCAACATCAGGTACATAACATCCATGTTCATCTTCTTCAGGGTTACTTGCATCCATAAGGTTAGCACTTGATTTAGTGTAATTTGAACGAATAAGCATACCCGTTGACCCTCCTCTGTCTCCACTTCCAATTAGACTACCTCCTCCACCACCACCACCTCCTCCACCTCCACTTCCATCTGAGCCTCGTGGTGGTGGATAGTCAAGAACCGGTTCCATTCGAGTCATGGTGATGGTTCGGTCCAGATCACGTTCAACTGAAGGTTCACGAGATCTTCTCAGTTTGTATTCCAACTCGCGTTGACGGCGTTCTTGAATCTTGCCCCAACATGAAACAACAATTGAGGCACACATACCGATAACAAGGGCGAAAAACAATATTAAGATGATGATCATATGATTTGAATCAAATGATGTCAAACTTTTTGAGTCTGATATAGTTGAGGAAAAAGAAAAGAGTGAAATTAGTAATCAATCGAAACAAATGACTGAAAATCAATTAAAATACAAGACAATTCATGTTACCTTTTTCGCAGTCTGATTTATCCTCATCATATCGATATATGCAATTCGGATGACCGTCACATTTTAAGCTTATGTGTATACAAGTCCCATCATCACAATCGAATTCGGTTTTTGGATCACATTTAGCTGATTGATTAAGAAAAATGATAAAATAAAACAAAATAAGTAAACTCTGTTAATATCAAGTGTCAATTGTATGAAAACAAACGTAATTCAAAATTAAAATATGTAAACTCAAAGAGTAAAATGACAAGCAAGACAAAATTATCAAGTTTACTTTACCAGGTTGATTTTTTTCTCTTGCTCATTCTCTACTAATCATTATTTACAGTCAACTTAATTTCGTACAAGTATATATTCAGCAGATATGAATATTCAGTTATTTTAAAAAGGTAAGCGAAAATATGTTCAATATAAGGTGAAAGTTTGCAAGTTTGATAATTCATTTTTTTTCATCAGGCAACTCACAAACTCGAATGCAATCTTTTTTAGATCATGTTTTTACACCTCATTTGATCAAGTAAACAGCTTGATTGATTGAAGTATCACAAATCACTTAAGGAAAGGTAAGAAGTTTACTTTTAGAATAAAGGTAAAAAAAATAATCTATGTGTTAACATGCAAGCTATCCTTTTAATATACTCTCAGATGGAAAGAGAGAAAGACATCATTAATTAATAACTAATTAAAAGGCTCATGAGGTGATCATTTTAATATGCAACTTTTTTTCCAGTTTGCTTTTTACTTTCACCAAAATCAATTTACCTGGATTTTTAGGTTCTCTAAAGGCTGTGAAGAGTATGGTGAAGGCAAATTTCAAGGCGCCAGGTTTGGCATGAAGTCGAATGTGTACTTTATTTGTTTCGGATTTATGAGGTTCTGTCGCAGTTCCACAGAATCTTTCTTTCCTGCTTGTCTCCAGAAGAGAGTTACCATAGATATCGATGTAATTTAAATGACAATCATTTGGTTTCTCCAGCTTATAATCGGTGAAATTTAAGTACATCTGAAAAATAGAGAAAATAAAAATGATAATCAATATATTTGAATAAAACAATTGAGCAAATACAATTTAAGAAATGGAAATTATGAGTTATCAATTACTCAATAATCGAAGCTATAAATTGATAATGGTTCAATGAATTTTCACTGGCCCTTTCCACTCTTACCTTTCCACTTACATCTCAAGAGTAAGCTACAGTTCAAGCCTCATTGAACCTTTACCATCATCATCACAATCATTATCATTATAACAATTTTTTCACTTCGATTCCAATAATCATCAAAACATGCACCATCCACACTATCAGCTAAAACTTACGGAATTCTTTCAAAATTGAGTTAAATTCAAGAGAGGATTCAATTTTATTCTGCATTTGTTTCATTCTGTGAGAAAAAAAATCAACCTCTGATGTACATATTTTTTAGTAAAGCTTCAAGAAAAGGTCTAATGTGTTTGAATTGCTAACTTTTACTATTTATAATTTGTATGCATCCCTCTTCACCACCATCATCATCATCCTTTTCTTCTTCCCTGACTTTCTTCATCTCATCATGCTTTTTCCTTTTCTCTTCATTTCTTTTTTTTCTAACAAAAAAAGTGAGAATGAAAAAAAAAGACCAAGAAGTTTAAATCTTGAACAAACCACCTCCCCTGCAGCCTCCATTGTAAATATGTGAAACATTATCAAAAGAAAGAGATTCTTCATGGCCTTTTCCTACTGTTCATTTCATCTTCTTTTTCGTCGTCCTCGTCCTCGTCTTCTTTTCTATGATAGTAAAAAGGAATTCTTCCTATTTTTGTTCATTCATTCCCTTAACCTTTTCTCCATTTTTATCTTCCTCTCTTTTATTTGGCTCTCTCGTTTTTCCTCTTGTCCTCTTCATCTTTTGATTCTCTTCAAAAATAATTGGCTTCAGAATAGTTAATATATGGTTGAGTTAAGTTGTAATAGAATGTCCATGTTTGATAGTATTTATAGTAAACAGAAATTCTGTAGGCAAGAGAGGGAAATAGAGAGAGAGAGAGAAAATGAAAGAATCAGATGGAAAAGGCAAAAAGAAACATGGAAAAAGAGTTAAGACTGAGATTGAGTAAGAATAGCCAAAAGAGAGGAAGAATTGATTGACCATGGTCACCAAATAATCTTCTTTGTTGCAATAATCCCTTGTCTGTTATTTTATCACTATGTACGTAATACTGGTCTTTGGCCATCTTTACTCAACCCCTTCCTTATACTCCTGGTTCTTGGGTTTCTTTATCATCATTGCTATCTTTTTCCTCGTCTCTTTTTTTTCATTAAGGAAGCCAATTGTTTTCCCAAAAACCATGTTGATGTTATCATTTTGTGTTTGTTGATTATTTGACCGGTTTGCAGAATCGAGTCATTTGCCTAAGGTTAATAATAACTTTGCAAGTACAGTAGTGAGTGACTGGAAATGAATGAAACCAATTGATGATTCGAAAGATGACGATCATGTTGATGGTGATGCTCTGCGGAGCTTATGGACAACACAATACCTTGAAAACAGCTCAAATGACTGACCATCAAATATAGAGCTTCGTTTAACCAATAATCAACCAAGCTACTTTAGTTACAATGCTAACACCATCAATGTCATTATAATCACTATTTTAGCTCTTCTTAATAAAAAAACAGGATTCATCATCTTCAGATCTTATCTTCTTTCCTCTTTTACCAAGCCAAACACTTTTTCCGTTTACACAATGCATCTTCCAGGTTTCTCAATGAAATCAATCTAATTGGTGTGAAGATATCTCTTTCAATGAGTTCAACAAGAAACCATTACCAACAAATTTATGAACCACGAGTCGCTTAACAAAAGTGAGGGAATTAAGAAAATGAAGACACCTTTTAAAAAAACTAGAATCTTTAGGAGAACGAGAAAAGAGAGAGAGAGGAGAAAAGTATACTTGATCAATTCTTTGAGATGTAGCTATTGATTTGTCAGTCAAATTGTCAGGTATGAATGACATAATGGCTGTAATGAACGAGAAAAAGCAATGCAGAAAGACAAGGTGGAAAAAATGTTTGCCTCGATGAAGCAGAAGTGGAAGAAAACAAAGATAATAATGTACATCAGCTTTTTAGGCCCATTAGATTGTGACAAATGTCGGTAACGGTAGTATTGAGTCAATGAATTAACTAATAAACCATGCAAGTAAAAAAGAGATGATATAACCAATATTACCTAATAGACAAAAACACATCAATATGAGTAAATAGATTGAGAGGTCAAGAAGTTGTAAAAATATGATAAAATGCTGATTGAGATTACCTTTTTCTCTGGACTAACGGTGATGCTCCAAATACATTCCAACGGTACTTGGTATTCCTCAGAATATTTGATGACTTCATCGGAAATTCTTGTACCATTTATACGACCGCTTTCACCAGTTAAATTATGTTGACAAGCTATAAGAGATTAGGAAGCAAACAAAATTGAAAATAAAAATGTTAATAAGGTTAGGAACAAAACTAATCATAAAAAAAGGGAAAAGCTATTGGAAACATGGCATTATACAGTATGTAATGCTGATCGCACATGTTTCTAATACATATATGTATATAAATTAATGAACATAATCGATTAACTTACCTGGTGGAGGAGGGATAGTAGCTGGAGATGATGGTAATTAAAATAGCGATGAAAATAGGAAAAAAAAGATACATTAATCACAATGCAAAATAATTGAAAAACCGTTGCCAAAAGGTTGTTTAGTTTGCCTTTTCAATTGGCCATCAAGCATCTCTTGGATTAAAACACTTTCCCTGTAATATTTTGCTGCTTTTTTACTTCACAGTAACCAGTTTAAATTGAGAAGCACAAACTTAATTAACAAAGTGTTAAATATTTGAACAAATCTTATAATCAAATTGTTGAAACAGAAGAAAATCAAAAATAACAGACAAAGAGAAAGGCATTCAAACAAAGAAAAGGTATCGTCTGATTATTTCTTGGAATAAGGGACAAAATGATAATTACGTCTTGTATCTTTTTCTTGTATTGTTTTGTATTTACAGCCCAAAGTAATATGATTAATTTGAATTGAACAAAATTAATATCGTTGCCTATTAATTTAATAACAACTGACTTTACATAAAATGCCAATTAAACAATGTGAAACAATTAACCAGAAAAAGTGAAAGAGAAGGAAAACCCAAATTTTGTCTACTGTTGAATTGGTTAACAGTAGCAAGTCATCATAGTATTAATAATAACCATAAACAAGCATAAACAAGCAGAGTGAATACCAAAACCCAATCTATTGCCAGTTAATTACTGGGAAAAAAGGGCTTCAAATTAAAGCTAATTGAAGTGCAAACTCAAATTGAACCTGCCAGAGTCTCATTAACTTTACAATTCTATTTTTTTTTACTTTTTTTCGTCAAAAGATCAATGTTACTGTTTTCAGAAGATGGCTTTGCTGATGATGAAGCTGATGATTCTGATGTCTCTGATTTTGATGATTATGTTGTTAATACAACAACAACTACTGCTAATAATCATAAATAATGGCAAAGGGCCAATCTTGGATGAAACCAGGCACAAACAAAATACAAACAGTTTCATGGTAAGTCTTTTTTGGCAACTTTTTTTGTCACAATTATTTTATTATAAACAAAGCTTTAAGTTTACATCCATTTATATATATATAAATACCTTATTTATCATGATACTGGAAAGAAAGGAGGTTAACATTGGGAAGGAGAAGAAAAAAAAATCAATAAAAGCATTGAAAAAGGTTATCATTTAATGTGGTTCTGAGGATGAAAAAGAGTTGGTTGACAAGCAAAAGGGTAACAAGCCTATTAGGTTTGGGTTCAGCAACAATTGATGTTTACAGGATGCCAATAATGACTTTTACATAGAGATTCAGTGTAAACAAGTCATTGTGATTGTGTAAAAAACTCCAGATAAACTGAAGATCAGGAAAGGTAAGTAACAATTGTTTAATATTAAACATTATTATTATCAACTCAACTGCTTCATTAACTTATACCATTCAAATGCAGTTTGTAAGTTAACCCAAAAATATGTTTCAACGGTTAAACATTTTTAATCTAACCATTTCCATCACAATTCAATACAGTGAACGATAACAGTAACATTTGGACAATCAAGATACAAAAATGAAGTGAAACTGGTCAATAAATGAAAAAAGAGCCAACAAAACCAAAATTAAAATCAAAACAAACCAAAATTGGGTTCAAAAATCAATCCAGAATTGCGTTGGTTAACCTTAAATTGAACATTTACATTTAAACTCTTCAGATGAAACACTGGTCAATAAGTATTGCAACTAATAAATTAAACAAAATAATAAAATGTAAACTGCAAAATTAAATTACAATAAAATGAGATTAAAATGAAATCTTTTGAAAACCAAACGGTTAAATCGATCAGATGTTTTCCCCTGACGGCCATTAGACGCAAAAAAACTGGTTCAATGAAGTTGATGAAAATGAAAAGACTTGACGAGAAGATTGAAAAAAGATAATTTCAAATATGAAAACCTAGACTTGAAATGAAACCTAAATCTGGTCAATTTAAGTAAACAATTATAAAGAACCAGATTTTTCCTGGTTTTATCCGAAAAACTGGTTTCTTGGATGTTTACTTGACTCTTTTGAAAAGGCAAAGATTGGCAATTTAAATGAATAACAATTTACTTACTTGCTTGATTTAAGAAGGTATAAACTCCTCTAAAACCTTCATATTCAATACTTTCATCTGATTTAAACCTTAACCAGAGATAATTATGAGTTGATTGAATCTCATGAGGAAAATTGTGTCCACACAGAACTGAAAGTATATCTGAATAGCCATATTTTCCGTTTCGTATTTCAAGTCTATCATATTCACAATTGGGTGAAGCTTCCATGGCAAAGCGATCACGAAATTCAATTTTAATATATTGTCCGTAAGGAGCTGTAAATGAACATAAAAACAAACCAGAAAATTAGCATTTTGTTGTCTTCTTCTTTTCTCATTAAATTGTCTTCCAACTCATTGACAAGTTGAGTTTTAAAATTAAATGACAATTGACTTTCATTATTTTGTAATTAATTTGTTTAACTCACTTGATAACCATTGAATAAAACAATGAAAATCAACTTAACAATGTTCATCATTACAAAGGTTTGATTGCGTGTTAAACACCCTTTTCACTTTCAATCTAAATGTTTGATTTAACAATTAATAGGATTGATTATTGCATTTTTGTTACTTCCCAGTAAAAAGCTTTATCAAGCTCAACAATTAAATGAACCGCCAATAATTGTGTTCACTGAATTAAACACCAAACATAAGAGACTAATGTTGACAAAATATTAACAATTTATGATTAAAATGCGGCTGAAATTGAAATTCCCTTCAAACCTAAAGTTGCCAATGTTAACATGGACAAGTTGACCTTTACCTTTGATTAAATTTCACCTTTTAATGTTTACCCATTTTCAATGGAGTTCATCATCAAATTAAAATGAACAGATGAAAGGTTAAATGATTAAGTTAACAATTTAAATGTAAAATATATTTTTGGGACAAAAGATTACTGAATCAATAGGCTTTTGAAGCAGTGAAACAAAATACAAAACATTTGGATTACAAATGAATAAAAGATTGAACAAAAAATTAATAACAATAATGGAAGCAAATTGAAAGGTTAAAGTTGGAATCATTTTAAAGTTCAAATCAATGTCCATTTGATGGGACAAAATGATGGGAAAGAGGGGACAAAAAGGTTTCAAATTCTGGTGACCAATCCATCGATATTGGTAAGTTATCAATAATGGTTAATCAGGTTAGAAGGTTGATGAAACAATTTTCCTGTTTTTCAGAGTTGCTTAGGTTTGTTGGTAAATTGTATTAATCATGAGCAACAATGGCAGTAGGAATCATGGAGGATAATCATGAAAGTATTAATAATGGTAAACACAGGGTGAACAGGAAGAGAGGAAAAAAAGACTGAATTGAAATTTGATATTCTGTCGTTAACTTGTTTTCACTTGTTCATTATTTTACACTTGGTTAAACAATAATTGTTCAGTTGTACGCCAAGATAAGGTTGTAAATTTCAACTCGGACTTCTCATGTTGTATTACATGCTTTAATTGATTTTATGCTGATAAGGAAAGCAGTTTAATATTAATCAGTTTTGTGACCATTTCTGGTTTACCTGAAACTGGTTGTGCAGTTGAAAAATAATAAGCATAAAGTTGATGAAAAGTGAACAAAAAAAGGTTTACCCAAATGTTTCTGACTAGCCAAAGATATTGAGATTGTCCATAAGTTTACATCAGGTTGATGAGGTCAAGTTGCTCAAGTTTAGCTCATATAATTGGGTTATTTTCAATTATTGTGACAACAAATAGTCGAGACAATTTCATTGATTCACTCCAATCATTGTGATAAAGTTGAATCCAATAGATATTTCCAACTTGACAGTTAACCATCATTTTACATTATTATTGATTCAAAAGATGAAACTTGAGATATTCATTAAAGGAAAAGGTTACTTGAATGATTAAAACCTTCAAACTCAATTTCAAAAGCTACTAAAAACATTTTTGGGTTATTTGGGTTATCATATAAAAGGTGAAAACCCAAAATGAAACAATGAAAAATTGATGTCAATTTAGCGATGATTTTGGGTTGAAAATTCCATCTGATGGTTCCATTGAACCAGGTTTGTATCGATTAATATATTCTGTTTACCAACATTTCAGGTGTTGTTTATGATTGATTAATGGCACTCTAGTAAAACACTAATCCAATACAGTTGTTGGTTTTTAATTGTAATCATCTTAACTATTGTAAGTTGTTTACATTGGATAGCATTTTATTAGGACTATTTAACAGATTGAAGACAATGTTTATTATTGGTTAGTGATTTGGGTTTTCATTTGGTAAACAAACCAAAAACTTGTTCGACTAAACATTAGACATTTTGGGTTAGAAGGTGAAGAAGAAGAAGAGGAAAAAAAATGAGAATGATTAAGATGAAAGGAAATGTACTTGATGATGATAATGATGGTTTTCACAATAATCATCATTATCATGATGAAAAGCCGAAAGTGTAACCATGTTTTGGTTTGAACGCTTAAATATAATTTTACTTGTTCACCTCTTATGGGTCAACTCTTGAAGTAAATTGTTCACAATTTGAAGGAAATAAATGGTTGAAATTTGGTTGAAGGATCCACTTGAAAATAATCATCTCTATATCATCAATACAAATCCATTGTTAACCTTTATTATTATACAAGCTGAGCCCCCGATCATGGCTGATCGTAAATTTCTTTTCACTGAATACAATAAATTCAATCCACATTTAAAGACTCGAACTGTTGATGAAAAATCAGTGTCAAAGAGAAAAACTAAAGAATTTTCGTTGATTTTGAGAGTTGTACAGTTACACAGTTACAGAGCACCAGATATTTAACTTACTCTTTGCTCGAAAGACAGTTTTACATAAACTCCTAGCCCAACAATAAACCATCAATCTGAATGAAAAAAAGTTTTTCCCCCAAAGTCAATAGTAAAAGATACGGATTCTGCATTTTTTCCCCTACCCTGTTTAAACGCTGATTTCTCAGTAACCTGAATTCCGAGAAAGCTCTGACTATTTTTCGTAATTGAAGTTCAATCAGGGCTTTCATTCGATGTGAAAATTTTCTTTAGAATCCTTTTAGTTTGGTCACAATCTTCCCGCAAAAATTTCATAGTTTGACTTTATATATTGTATAGATTATAATTATCGCCTAAACTATCAACTCAATTGTCAGTTAAACATTTTCGCTCTTCCAATTGATTCACAATTAATTGAAGCAACATTGCCAATTTGACAGTTCAACTCTATCCCTAAGCTCAATCCCAATCTCAAGTGCAGATAAATGTTGCTTTTATAATATTAATTAATTTTATCCCCAATCTAAATAACTATTCAGTGTTTCTGGTCTTTTTTTTTGGGTAACAAAACATTAGCATTGATTGTTGATGCCAGTGGTTACAGGATGAGCGTCTTCACTTGAAGCCCATTATCAATGTAAACAATCAATTGACTGGTATTGAGTTTTGTTTCAAAAGTGAACAACATTTGAAACTTTACTGTTGTTTGCCTTTGTGTCAAGTCGACATTGAAAGTCAACGTTTATGACATTTTGTCAGCAACAATCTTCAAGATTCACTCCAAGATTCACTCCAAGATTCCCTGCAAGATTTACTCCAAGATTTACTCCAAAGAATGTTGATCATTTTTGTTGATCATGTTCATCTTTTCTGGTTGACAGGCAAAAATGGCAACACAACAAAATGATTTTAATAAACAACTGATCACAAGAAGAAACAAAAAAAGCAAACAAAAATGTGATTAACAGGAAAAATCTTGAACACAATTTTTGCTGGTTAGTTTTAATGGGTGATAATAAAGGTAAGCAATTGATTGATGAAAAGGGAAAGATGAATATTAGTTTACATTGAATCGTTAATGAAAAGGTAAACTGAGATGTTTTCTGATTGCTGTTATTACGATGGGAATGATGATAATTTGCTGGTTGAGTGGATGATTGGTGATTAATTTGGAAAGTTAGTGAAAATATTGATTATCTTTAGGAAGAGATTGGTTTGGTTGTGAAGATGAGGATGAGCAAAGATGATGGAACAATGTGACCTGTCATTGAGGAAGCAAATTAAATGGACCAAGAAATGAGACATGATATCAAGTTGAATGGTGCTAATCCTCATCTTCATCACCCTAACCCTATCATCTGGATTCACTCCCAGTGAATGGCTTTAAATCAATTCTGTTAATCAACTGTGCCTTCTAAATGTTGTTCAATGAGACAAGAAAATCTGGAAGAGAGAATCAGGAAGGCATGATGCTGATGATTATCATTCCTGTGATCATCATCATGAAGATGCTTCAAGAGCTGATCAATGATCAACCTTGAGGGTGTTTCAGTTGCCGTGAAAGGCTGATAAACAATTTAATGGAAACAAAATGAGAGGGAAAAGTCAAACATTATCTTCATGATAATCATTGTGAAGAAGAGATGAGGAAAAAAGGTTCCATGAAGCTTGTCATGGCAAAAATGTTGATGAACATCAAGTTAATCGTGTGGCAATGGAATTTTGCAATTAGATTCGAGTAAAAGTTAACCGATTGCAATCATTTTCAATTTACAACTGATAATGACAACTTTCAATGTAATAGTTAATTTTCCTCTTTCAACCCACTTGCTTTTCCTACCAATTCATTTCAATTTTAACAACAATTTGTTATTCAATCATTGTCAATATCGACTTTGAAACCTTTTCATTTTAAAACTGACAAATAAAAGTAAATGAGAAAACTTATGTTTCAATTTTTTCGTCAATTTACTTGGACTCAAGATCGGCTCTTTTAGTTTCAAGATTAAATCAACTTTAATGTTCCATCATCAATTGTGAGTCAACATTTATCTGATATTTGATCTTTTTTTGCTCAATTTTCTGTGCAATCCATTTTTCAAAATGATCACCAAAAGTTCAATGTAATAATTATTTTGTGGCTTTCGTCAATGCTCTTATCTGGTTTCACCTTTATCGATATTGTAATGTCAGTCAATTGGATCTGTAGATCCGATCGAAACATGAAGAATCTTATTGATATTGTTTCAGGATAATGATGCAAAATAAGGCGAACTATTGTATTTTAAACTGTGATTTCAATTCTGAAAAGAGACAAATAAAACTCCAAACTTGATCAATTTTCATTTGGTGTAACATCTTTCCATCCATAATGATATCTAAAAGCTCTGGTGAACTTCTAAAGAATTTGCAATTCGTTTTCGTTCTGAAACAATCTATTTGTAAAATACTTTCCTTGATTGAAACGCAAATTTTGACCCGTAAACAAAGGTTAAGTTAGCATAAAATTGAACAAAAAAAGAGCCCATTCAAGCTTCACCAGTAAATGCAAATAAGATTCATCATTTTTGATTATATTTTTCACCTAAAGCTAGCATTGAAGCCGGTTGGATCTCTAATTGATCTCAAGTAGATTTAAAGACGATCGAAGGTTATTTTCAGGTCTTTATATCAAATTTAGCAAAAGATTTCAACAATATTCCAATAAGAAATGCTAAATTCCGATTCTAAAACGAAGCATAACTCTTGTCAACTCAAAAAAATCTCACCAATTTCGATTTCTTCAAGTTTTCCATTCAAAACGTAATGTTATTACTCCTTTCAATCCTTGAAAACACTAATATAAAGTTATTTTATGCTTTACAATGAAAGATGAAACCAGATTTTACACTAAATATTAACTCAACTTCGTCACTAAAAATATCTCATTCAACAAGAAACATTATTCTTATTCACCTTAAAGTTCATTTTCCCAACGATTTCATCGGGCAAACCAACTTCTCTGGTAATGAATCGAGTTGATGAAACTGTTCCAATAATCGAATCGGAAAAGTAAAGATAAAGGTTGCAATTGAATACTAATTTTTGCTTTATACACTTTCATAAGTTAGTTAACTGTCAATGATACAAATAATAATCTTATACTTCGCTTTGTGTTTTGTTTAGTGTTTTTTGTTCCTGTTTTCGTATCAAAACTAACTTCACTTTTTGTATTGTATATTAACAGAATAAAAAAGCTTCTCTCAGCAAAAGTCTACTTACGATGATAATAATGATCATCTAGTTAATCATCAACTTGATCATCATTATCATCATGCAAGTGTAAAGGATAAACTAATAATAATAATAGAAGCGAAGAGATGAAAAAAAAGAAGAGAAAAAATGTTCATCCTGATTATTATCTTTAATTCAATTGCTCATACTCACAATCAATCATCGCAAGTTGATTTACTCCAAGCTTAAGCCAACAATGATAATCAAGTTTGCATATTGTTGTCTACATATTGTTTGTAATTGCAATTGTAATACAATGGTTTAAGGTTAGCTTTTTGATTGTGATCAGTTGAATATGAGACAAAAATTCAATTAGCAAGGGTTAATTGTGTTACCTTGTAATCATAATTTCTGTGTGTTTCTGTTCCAACAATTGAATCAACAATCATTGAGTAAACAGAAAAGGTGAACAAATTTTAATTCTCGTCTTTTCTCATTGCACTTTCAATTGCATTTTGTGAACATTTCAAATGCGATTTATGTTCACTCGCTGGTAACATTTACTGTTACAATAACATTTCAAATGGAATCCATATTCACTGAGTTGGAATTTTTGCTTCTCTCGAACAAAAGCAAACTTTTATCTAACAGTCAATTTTCAGTTTAAATATAATAAAGGAAAGGTACAAAAAGGAAAAAGTTTATCCAATTGTTAACTTGAAACAATTTAAAAGTCAAAAATAGTTAAACAATTGGTTTTTCTGCTTGCGGATTGTTGAACATTGTTAAGATGTTTCCACCTTTGTATTTCATTGATTTACAATGGAAATGTCAATTTACTCAAGTTAATTGGACAAAATTAAAGGTTAATTGTTACTTACCTTCTATTTTGAGTATACAATCAGTTTGATTTGGATAGTTGTTGGGATAATTTGGAGAGTAAAATTCACCTTTTGTTTTATCACCGACTGAAAAATTATAACAGGCCTCATAATCTGTGTTGATTGCGGTTAATTTTTGAGATATTGTTTCTTTAGCTGAAACTGTAAAGGATAAAATAACATTTCAATTAGATGGAACAATCAAGAGTCATTTAAGCAACAATTTAATCTCATTTGTTCAGTTGTAAGTCGAAAATAATTGGATCAAAATTTAAGTTATTGAATGTTTCTATTTATTGAATTAGTTGCTCTTAAAAATCGCTTTTACATACTGATTTAAACGGATTGCTTTATTAATCAGAAGTGGATTCAAAAGATACTTGAATAAGTCTTAGTTTAGTTTGACCTGAAACTATGTTTAAAGGTATTAGCGACTCTTACGAGTAATTAGCAAATCTTTTCGCTTTTGGTGTAAATTTTCAAGCATTAGTGAATGTCTAACAGTAAGAAAGTCTCATAATTTTCAATAATGAACTGAAAACCTTTTCTTAAACAAATGTCTCCGCATTTGCGGTTCATTTCTGTACCAATAGACATGTTACTAGTAAAGAGCTCTTCGTTGGAAGTGTAAAAGGCAAAATAAGCAAGAACGTTCATCTAAATGTAACGAAAGTAGATTCTATTTCATGATCATTGCTATAATAATGCGAATTATGATTAGAAGATACTTCGAAACTCTTTTTACTGGTTAGATCAGTATTCATAGTCTTTTTATTTATCACTCGGACATAAGGTGCTTGAGCATTCACAAACCTAACTCAGCCAGATCTAACAGAAAATAACTTCAACTTGAAGGCTGTAAAGCGTCTGTTTGCAAATTAAGAAGTTGCAATTCACTTCAGCATTCTATTTTTGACTGAATATTAGTTCAAACTAACTACGAATCGCACGAATTACAAGATTTATAAGAATGACAAGATGCAAGATCAAACTTAAAAAGTTATTAAATGCTGGAACAACTCGATAGAAACTTGACAATCAGACAATTTGGTAAACTTCATCAAATGCGTTCTTTGGTTTGTGCCAAAATGGCCACAAAATTGATACAAGTCTTTGCTCATGATTATGAAATTCAAATGAAATGAAATGCAAACAATTAAACTGTCAACAATCAATTGACGTTTTATTTCAATCGTAATGTTTAAAATTTGAAGCACAAACGAAAAAAAGCTTTTCACTTTCAAAAGATTGAGTTTATTGGCAATAATATCATTGAACTGTAAAGTAACTGAATGATATCAACATCTTTTCATCATCATTTCTATCATCTTTATCCCTACAGTTTTTTTAAAACTCATCTTCTTCAGAATCAAAAGGGAAGGCAAGCAAAAAGGTTGAAGAGAAAAAAATATTCAAAGATTCAGTGGCAAGAGAAAAAAACAAAGATGATAATGATGATGATTAGGATTGATAAACAGAATCGTTCTCGTATGAAGCTGATGACAGGTTAAGTGAAGCGAACAAAGTTGAGAAATCGTTCATCGAAGAGGAGAAAAGAAGAAGAAGAAGGAAAAAAGAGTTTTGCCGATGAAAATGATGGAAAAGTGTTGATGAAGAAGAAAGAAAAATTGAGTGAAAAGTGAAAGTAAAATTATCAGTCGATATGCTTTTCCCTGCATTTGTCTGTCTATCATGATAATGTTCACTCCCAGTGAATAAATTGTTATCATTACACTTGAAATATTGGCAATTGTTGATACTCTTAGAGAGAAAGAGAAAAAAGAAGAGAAAAAATGATTAAATAAAAAGATCTTCATTTTCATCTTAACACATCAATTGTGGCAACAATTTAAATTGCTTCAATCACAATGAATCGGAATCATTAATGATAATGATGCTCATTATTAAGTAAATATCAAGCGAAACCTTCCCTTTGTTATTGCTATTTGTTGCTATTAATATCATTATTAATACCATTATCATTATCATTTTGTATAAATATTAATATTTCCTAATCGGAGTAAAAAAAGTTCATTGGACTTTACATTATAATTGAAATACACTTAATACCTTCAACTTTAATCGCAACACATTTCGGAATCAATTAATTTGTTTCCATTTAATTACAACAAAATCCAACAATAAATGTAAAAATTTATGTAAATTTATCTTTCCTTTACTAAACACTTCTCTAATGGTTAAACAGTTACACTGCCCATTCGGTAAAAGTTAATTGTTGCAATTAATGTTCAAGTTCATTTTTTGGATTCAATTTACAATCGATTTTGTTGGAAAGAAAAAGATTTAAAACAAAAGTTTTGAATTAACTTTAAGTCAATTTCAACTCCCAAGTTGAGTTGAGATTTGGTGAGATGAACTTCCCAGGCTTTTGTTATCCAATAAAATGGTCAATTTTGAAAGGAAATTGAATGAGACACTGAATCGAATGTTTCATCGAAACAAAATTTCAACTTTTCCAGAAATTGATTTCTTTCCGAATCAATCTCAACCCTTAATTGCTCTTTAACAGTGAACCAATCTTTACTCAATTCTGTCTCAACTGTTCAATATTCACTGTCCAATTGTCTAATGATTAAAGAGCTAATTGAGAATCAGTTTTGATGAATAACTTTGCAAGTTGATTGTAAAGTAAATATTATTAGCAGCAATAATAAGATACAAGTAAAGATAACATTGAAAACATTTATCTGACTGGAACAATGGATTGAAAGGAAAGCTTTGAAATTCAAAGAGCATGTAACCATAGAGAAAATTCTGGTTTCATTGTTGCTTTGAAAATTCTTTTTGGATGAATAAAGCACAATTTGATCCTTTTCAGTCAACCCAACTGAACAAGTTAATTGAAACAAATGGAAATGTTGAAAATATCAATTTGTTGCTGAAACTTGCGAGAAGAGGAAAAAAATTGAATCAAAATTAAACTCACCTTGAATGGACTTGAGCCATATTAACGATACCCAAATAGATATGCAATTAGATAGAATTGCTGGAAAGAAAAAGTCACAATTAGTAAATCAATTTAACCATTAAATTCAACTTTTGCCTTCAACTCCAAATGATGCTCGACTTAAGTAAATGGTTTTAACCAGAAACTGGAATAACTTTTTTTTCCCTTTCACAGTCATTATCATCTTTCAAGTTTTACCATGAAAAGAAATTTCAGATATTCTAGTTGGTCACAGTTATCACTTTCACCCATGATTATCTTCATCTTTGTCTTCATCTGTTCATCTGAAAATGAACAAAATGAATGGTAAAACGGATTACATTTACATACTAATATTGAATCACAGCGTGAGTTGCTCTATTTTTGTCCTTCTCGCCATTTTACTCCATTTATCATTCAATACTCTAACCATTCATTTTTCCGCTCATCATCATCAGAATCACAATCACAAATAATATTAACTTGAATCGTCTTCATCTTTATACATCTTTGACCCTCTTTAAACCCTCAATGTTCAAAGAACCAGTTTTTTCGTTCAATTTTGTTCACCTTCATTCCCTTCAACTTTTTATTCCCAACTATTATTGTTATAATAATCTATTCAAAAGTGTGACAATTCAATAACAATTTGACTTTTGCTCAGCAAATAATCGATATCAAAAAAGGCTTATTGAATGGGTAAAGAAAATTCAACTTTTTTTCCACTCAATTTATAACTTTTGTTGCTTTCATTAAATCAACTTGCATTTCAATTTAGCATTTTACAATCTAAAGGATTGTGTACTTTACTCCCTTTCAACCGTTTTATTCAACATTTGACAACAATTCTGTTAAATAATTAAATCATTATCGCTTGGGATCATATTCAGTCTCAAGTTATTTAGTTTAAAAGTTCAATCTTTGGTCTGTAAAAGACTGACATTCAATCATAACAGATTATGCGACTTTTCAGACTTTATCTGAAAGATTTAGAATAAGATTTGCAAAGCAATTAGTCGATTGTTGCTAAAAGCAAATTGATTATTTTACAATTAATTGGTTAATTATTTAAACAGTCGAGTAATAAAAGTAAATCACTTTCGCAAGGTAGACTTAAAGTGAACATTATCAACTTTTTTGCATTATTATTGTAACAAGCAAATTAAAGCTGAAATGGTTTGGTTCAGGTGAACAAGTCTGATGAGTTGATTTGATCCAAAGTCCAAGTGAATAAGCTTAAACTTAAGCTTGAATCATTCAAGTCATTCTTGTTTAAGTAACCCAAATCATTCAAGATTGATTATTTTCAGTCCAAACAATCTTAAGGTCTTAACATTTGCAATTTGTATTCCTGTAAACCCTTGATATTCAAAGTCGCAGTTTAAAGCATCATCAGTTAACATTATTGTTACAACAAATCGTGTGTTTAACGTTTTGTAAACTAACGTTTGACTTTCCCAAGTCTTTTCATTTCGCAGTCACAACAAAGTATCGAGACTAAACATTATCAGCTTTGCATTGTAACAAGAAATGAACAAAGAAACTCTGCTTTTCATGATTCGATAAAACATTGGCCAGTTAACTTTTAAACTTGAATCAATCGATCAACATTTTATTGGGAATAACATTGTGAGATAATTGAACAATAAAGTTTTGATAAAACCTAAAACAGATTTCAGTTTAACCAAAATTATGGCAACAAAACGAGTCAAAATTGTAACCATTGAGTTTCAATTATTTTGAAAAGGGAAAAGCTTGAAAGCCATTAAATTGAACAAAAAGAAGGTAAAAAGATGATGAGATTGACGAAAAGATGAAGCAAAGGATGAAACAAAATCAATTTGACAACAAAAAGACAAACTAAAAGGTAAAAAATTGTCTCAATATGATGTATCATATTACATGGACTATGGATGAGGATAGTAATGTAAAGCTGTAAAAACACTAACACTTTTAACATGATAACTATACTTTTGAGGGATGAAAATTAATGATTCGAGCAGTGACCAAGTGATCATCAAATGAGATGTAATTTCGAGTCTCACTCCATTCAATCATCATCATTATTATTTTCATCAACCATCATTTCAACATGAAAAGGTACACTTTTGTTGATCGCTTTACTGGCCCAGTAACACATTCACTTGCCTCGAGTTGCCTCTTTGAGTACAAGACATTTTTTTGTCTAAAGTAACATCTTTTTTTCGCATCGTCTCTTCCCTTTTTCAAGACCAAATCAATGGGAAACTTTCACTTTTTAACTAAGTTTATCATCTTCATCATGATGACCATCATCATCTCAATTTGCAACTAATGTTCACTTGAGAAGCAAAATGTTCATCTCAACGTTAGATAAACAATGTAATAACCCAAGTATCTGTTTTCATTGAATTTTTTCTTCACTTGCTTGACCAATGAATCTGCGCACCATGATGGATGACAGTTGATGGTGATGATGATAATGGCAACATGATGAAACGTTGAACCAAGAAAATGAGCAGAAAAAAGGTTTGATAGTTTTCTTTGCAACAGATTACATTTCAATTTTTTGCTTTTTCAATTTCGAGCAGCCTTCAGAGTTTAATTGTTCAAAATCCATGGTTTCATCGTTTACCATCAACATTGGGATTAAGCTTAATGATGAAACTTTTGATCTGCCTTAATTGATATGCAAGTAAAGAGCACATCAACAATTATTTTCAAACTTATCGATCGGATATTGCAGTGAATAAAATGTTCAAAACCAGATTCAAAAGGAGGGAATTTTGCATTTCTGCGAAAAATCCAATACATTTCCTCCTCAACACTTATGTTATGGAATCGCAGCGTTTCTCAGTCGAGTTTTGCTTAAACTCAAGTAAAAAGTCAGTATATAAGTAATGGAGGATGTCAGTAGAGTCGGAATCAGAGGAAGATTTCTGCTCATCTGAGAGATGCAATTTCTAGAGATGAGCTCAATCGACTTTGAAACCGTGCAAGATTAGTTAACTGATTCAATAGAAATCGTTGAGGATTTCAGACGCTTTCAGAGCAAACCATTTGTTAGTCTGCAAAATAAACTGATCGACAAACAGACCTAATAAAAGCACATTACAAATTGAATTGTAAACCAACAGTTGCCCATTAATAATTACCCTTTTTGCAGTCTTTTAATTCATGATAACATAATTTTGCCTGGAGGTGGAAATGTTGAATGAAAGGTAAAATGATACAAACTAGTAACTTTCTGCATCTAATTATCAGCATAATTCAAGGTAATCAAATATGACTACAATTAATTAGCCAACAAAGTAGAGTAAAAATATCGAGCCTCAACAAGCTGATTAACCTTTCGCATAAAGCATTGTCAACAGAGTTTCCTAACAAAAACAATAGTCGACTGTCACATTGACGAGGACAATGAAGTGCCTTTGAGGATGAAATTTAAAGATAATCAAAATAGTCATCAACTGAATGTGCATAAACTGAATCAACTTAACCCAAAGTAATAAAAGACCAAAAATTTACAGAAAAAAGGAAGATTCGAAACAATCAAATGGATTATCAATCAATTGTTGAATTTTATCCAAAGTCAATTAATCTTTCTTTCTGGTTTAATGGTTACAATTAGCAATTGATTTAGTTGAAGCAATTAAAGCAATTCAAGTCTTGAAACTGTCAATGATTAATTGGCAATGGTTTCCATTGTTGCCCGGACTAATTTATTTAACCAAATGAAATTGGATTATTGATTTTGATTTTGATTCACTTTCATCAGCCATTTGAAAGACAACAAAAAAAGTTAATGAAAATCAATCATGACTTGGTTTCCACTTTATTCAATTAGATTTGTCACAATTTATTGAACACTTTGTAACAACAAATATTAACTTTAAATGATTGAATTTAAATTAACCAAGTTGACCATTAAATTGGTACGGAAAAGTGGGCAAGCGAACCAAAAAAAAAGAGATTCATTTTCGAGAAAACAAATTGAGACCAAAAATCGATAAACAAATGGTTATCTGAGTGTAAAGTGATTAAAAATGTGAACTTATTTCAGGTTCATTAAACTCAATCAGAAGAGTATAATTGAGTGGATAACTTGGTGAGCCTTTTGCTATAAAAGTGTTTCCCTGTTCATATCATAGTTTGCAGTTTGGGCAATAAAGTTAATCAGAAACTGAATTGGAAACAGTAAAAACAAAAGTTACGATAAAGTGCAAAAAGGTTAGATTGATAAAGTTGCCTTTTGACAATCAATTTACTGGTTAAACTGTTTCCTATTGTAAGGGTTAAAATGATGATGAGAGAACGGGAAAGGAAAATATTGAATCCAGAAAAATAATGTTACAATTTATGATTATGCTGATGCTGAGGCTGATGATGATGATGATGATGATAAAGAATGAGAGGGAAATGAAGTATAAATGAATTGATTTGAAGGATTGGAAAAGGGTTTCAAGAGGCTTCTCATATTGAATGTGTTTGTCAGAGATGAAAAAGTGAATGATCAGTCTTGTCATGTTAAGAGTCTAGCTTGTGACATAATCCAAAATTACCTATAAATCATGATGAGAAGGAAAAAGAAAAAGATGAAAAAAAGACTTTTCTGATAAATATTATTGAAATTGTGCAGCAAAAATCCGAGGATTGTTTGGGAAGGAAAAGGCTGCCAATGAATTCATTAATGTATTCATTTGCATTCAATCTGATTTTGCATTAATTTCAAGACTTGACTTTTCAAGTAATATTGACTCAAATTAGGTGTTAGTTATGAGCATCAACTGGTTAACAATTAGATTGTAACTATCGTTAGAAAATGTGGATGAAAACAATCGATCGTCATGAAATGATAGAAAGGATAAAATTACCAAATTTTCAGTGTTTATTATTTATTCAATGGCAATTTTTTACTGATCTTAATGAACAGTTTTTTTATTCATAAAAACGTTCAAATATTTGGAAGGAATGGTTAAGAAAAATCAATTTAATCTGAAATTGATAGCAATCCATTTCAATAGTTTCTGGTCAATATTTTGAAAACAGAAACAGAAATAAAAGGCCAAATTTATAGCAAC